TTGATTTCGACGCGAAGAGGTCTGCTTTCCGATGCATGGGGCGACCATTCTCTGGTGGATCTGTGGGGTGAAGATGTTGACTTAATACTCAGTTGGAGATAGTTGAAGGGTATTTGATCTTTGGATAATATATATAATATATATATATATATTTATTTATTTATTGGGTGTATCATGTTGTAGATGGATGTAAATGGCATAAAGACTCTATCTATCTATATATATACACATACATATACACATGTGTTGTACATATAGATTAATATGTGTACAAGGCTTATTATATAATATATATATATATATATTCATAGAGATATGCATACATCATATTCCTAACGTTTGGTAAGTTGGATTGCTATGTTGTTGATTTTTTTTTATTAGTATACGGTAAGAATATGCCCCTGTATGTTTGTTACTGAACGGGGTTTGGTCCATCTTTTTTTCCTGTCCTGAGAGAGTGTTTCTCCTTCTTTTCTTCTGGATTCCAGCGACAAAAAGATTCTTACTTCAAACATTGCGTTCCAATCAACAGAATTCCAGCATTGGTTTACAGGAAAAATAGCAGGAGCCACTGGTTCCAAACCACCTATATTTAGGGGAAATACCGGTGGTTTGCCGTAAATATGCCTTTGAACCATTCCATTGAAAAATGCAGGACAGACAAAATTGGTGTAGCAGTGTAGCACAGGCCTAAGGAATATCAGTGACCAAACCCTGGATGTGGCGAGAGTTTGTCAGACAGGATTGCGAGTGATTTCTGTGGCGTCATCCAACCATGATCTCGGAAAATTTGATACTTGGCGCTGTTCTTACTGGTGCTTAGCAGGGAATTTTCGGGAATGATCCACAATAACTATCCATAATCATCCCAGCAACCCCCATTCCCTCCATTCCCTACTAAGCACCGGTAAGTGTTTGAAACCAAACCTCTTTGTCTGGTTTTCGTCTAGCGTAACACTCTCAAGTTGCACCATGGCTGATCAATGTTGTTTCCTATTTTGAAATAACACGACATCGGAAGTAACTTCTCCACGTTTGAAACAACTACATTATCCATCCTTATCCCAGTTATAGAGTTTTGACCATGTTTCAGCCCTGGTTAGAATCTCCCAAAGTGGGGGGTAAATCACCACAATTGAAGTTCTTTTCTATGGTTTTCATCACGCTTAAATCCCCATCTTTGGTACTCAAATCCCTACAACGTGGTGCCCCCAGTGAATTTTTTTTTGGCTTATCATCCCGCATCAACACATGATATCTATTTGAAACCCAAAAGTTATATACATCTTAGATTATTAGATCATATCAGTTATTTGAAACACACGTCGGTATCACAAAGCCGGCTTAAATCCCATTCTATCCACGTTTTTCTTGCCTAAATCACCATTTTGTTTCGGTTAGATTACCATGAAATCCCATGAAAATCCCTTCAAAAATCCCATTAGACCCCATAAAATACCCTTTGTTTTCCTGGTAAATCCAACGTTTTTTCCTGTAATTTGTTCAGCCAAATAGGCACCAAATCCCGCTGGAGACAGGTGCCTTTGGCCACCACCACCAGCTCGGGTACGGCGCGACAAGTGTGGCCCGGGACACCAGACCGCCTGGCGGAGCAGGGGTGGAGGTTTCCCCTATGAAAAATGGAGAGTTCATGGGGAAAACTCAGGGTTTTTCATGGGCTTTCTTGGGTTTGGGGATATGAAAGGGGATTGAATGGTACTTTAAGCGAAACAACATGGCGATTTAACTAAGACATATGTGGATTGAATGGGATTTATACCTAATGTGAATTCATTTATGTGATGATTAAGGAACCAAACATGTAGTCTTTCTTCGGTATTTAAATAAATTGAAACGAATGCAGCGTTTTTTTTCCTGGTAGTTGACCATGATGAATCCCACAGGATCGTACAACTATGTCGTCCGATGATGTTCAAAGAATTTCAAGCATGATTATTCATAATATGTGTATATATGTGTAATATAATTTATAATAGTTATACATATACATAAATAGTATATATATATACAATATCTATACAAAAAGCTCCGCATGTTTCAAATATTAGATATCTACCAGTACATGGCTCAACCACCCAGAACTGACTCTCGCCATTGCCCGAGGCGGCACGATCTGAAACGCTCCAGGGATTACCCCGACTTTAGCGAGTTGAGCCTGAGAGGGGAAGCAGATGACATGGTCGAAGAGTTGTCCCCTTGGCTTCTCATAATAACATAATGAATGAAAATAGAAGAGCTTAATTAGTCTCGTTAATTATGATGTTTGGTGTTCGATTCCGATTCTGGTTTTGTTTGTAACCTTCAACGGTAAAATAAGAATCAAACACATGCTTTTGTTCCACAACAACTGCAACATCGTATTTTGCGGATGAAGACCAGTACTGAAGAGTGATGTAAATTCCCTCATGTGCATTGTGTTTGGATCCCATGCCTCGTTTTTTTACTTTGATGTATTTGCCATAGTCTGTAATGCCAAGTAATATAATGGAACGTATATTAATGGAATGGAACGGAATATGGAATCAAATCGCATTTCCGAATGGAATGTATTTTATATGGCTTTGAAATGCAATGTAGTGTGGTGTAAGGTAGTGTCATGCAATGCATTACAGTGCAGTGTACTGCCATGTAGTGTAACAAGATGTTGCTTTCTGCAGCATGACACAATTCACTTTGATTTGTCGTTGTCAGGAATTTGGGGGGCCTATATTGGAGGAAACCGAGAACGTATAGTGGCGAGTTAAACTTATGAACCATTTTGGATACGATCGTTGTCCAACAAACTCACGTTGCAGTGTAGGAGCTTCTACTGAGACGCAGAAATCTCTACATTGAAACATATTGAAACCCACAGTGGGGCACTAACTTTTGTTTCCTGAGGGACGCGAGCTGCTCGCAGAGCGTTTGGTGCTTAGTGGTGGCAGCGGATCCATGGATTCCCTTGGAAATCAGTTTGTTGCTTCCCTTTTGATGAAGCTGACGACAATCACAGCTTAGCAGCTTTGAAAAAGGAAGAGCTATAGATACTGGTTGGTGGTTTGGAACATGTTTTATTTTTCCATATATTGGGAATAATCATCCCAACTGACTAATATTTTTCAGATGGGTTGAAACCACCAACCAGGATAATTGGCTATGTGTACGGAACAATAAACATCCACCAGCCAACATTTGAAGAACATGTGTATTGGCTTTCATTTTGTCCGTGTATCCTCAGCATGCCACCAAACATCACAGAACTACTGACTTCGACATTCGACACAGCTGAGGATGACAGCTCTCGTGGCAGCGAACCTGTCGTGGGGTTTCCCCAGTTGTATCGTCACAGCAGAGTCCCACGGCCCCCAAATCCTGGAACCACCGAAAAATGGACTTCGTTCAGTTTGAAGGGCCAGGTCTTGAATATGTAGGCAGTGATTTTTTGTCCGCAGTTGGCCAATATGTGTTGCCTTTGGCGCAGTTCTTAGTCATCCGGATTGGATTTTTGAAGTTTGGCATGCTCAGATTTTCGTGTATTTAAGTGTTTGCGGCTTTATTCTGTTTGTAGAGACTTTGCTGCATACACTCTCTCCAATTTAAAGTGAAACTCCAAATGATAAAAAAATCCACTCTTGAATTTGTCCTCCAGATGCATGTTGCGATTCTATGTTGCTTTGGAGGGGATCTTCATCTCTTAATCCTGGTTGCCTAGGGGGATAAGAGACCACCTCAAAATAGAGAACGAAAAGTTATTAACCTGGAAATATGACATATGGTCATATATCGTCTAGTTCACATCATGGTGTCCACCCTTTTCTATCAAAATTTGGAGCTTGCTATATGTGTATAATATAATTATATATACTGTATATATCTGTATATACTGATTGCTGAAATATGATATATGTGTTTTGTTTGGTGGGTTAAAACATCACACATCTAGCTTAAACAAGCACCAACTGACTATAGCAGTTGACTTGCTGCTTAAACGGTGAGGTGGTTTTGGATCGAAGAGGCGTTCCATATCAGAACGTCTATGGTGTCATCACGTCCAGAGCTAAGTTTGGCCGGGGGGGACAACCATTCAACATGGGAGAATGTGGATTGAACATGATTTAACCAATTATTTACTCAGATATTACTTAATGGAATAGTGTGGATTTAGCCATTGTATTACTGGGATATTGAACGGGATAATGTGGATTTAGCCATTAAAAATGTGTATTTAATGGGATTTACTAATGATTTACTGGTATATTACAGTACTGGGATGTTGATGATATACCCCGTCCGGTGTCATCAGCTCCGGCAAACTGGGAAATCCTCGAACCAAATGGAGGTGTTATTGCGAACATCATCGAACTAAATGGGGACATTCCAGGTAGTTATGTGTTTTTACCCACTGGTAGTTGGGATCACACGCATTTAAGCTATGAAGACTTGAATATGGTCAAAAGATCATACCCTGCAATCTGAAATGATGTTTATAATCTCTGGTATTGATAATTTTGAAGTTTTGGAAAGCAATGGATATATAAATCATTGCTGACTTTGGGCATCCACTTCTGATATGCATAACCATTTCAACAATATAGCAGTTTTTGGCATTTGTGACAAGTTGTTTTGCCCAGCTGGATCCTCCACATGTATAATATGATATGATATGTATACATACCTTCGGGTAAACTAATATATAGATATGGAAAATCAACAATTTCCCTGAGAGAATGATCTACAAATAGTTGGTTTTCCACATCTAGATTAGTTTACCAGAGGGCATACATATACAGCATATAATTTGCATATATATATATATATGTATATTTTTCATTGGTTGGTTTGCAGGAAATTTAGTCTTGGCAGTGGATTGTCCAAGGTACAAGATTGACAGCTGGCTGATCCAAACCCTGGCATTGTTTGTTCATAATAATAGATAGATGTGCATTTATTTCTGCTTGATTGTATCACAGGATGCATATCCCATTATGTCATAGTCATATTAGATACCCATAAAGGCTGGTCATATGAAATAGTTCCTTCAGATCTCATTAAATCCAACAATCCCCATTGATAATGATTCTTAACTTAATAACCTCCAACAAGAATAACTCTGTCAAAGAATTCCCAGGGTGCAGGGCATACGCTTTCAGGTTCTCAGATGATACGCTGGAGCTTTCTTGCGGACTGGAAGGCGGGACGATGTTTGCAGACGCTCCTGAAAACTATTTCCGGAAAAAGATATTCGGAAACACCATAAACGAAGCATCATATTTTTCATGGATATATCATGTTCATAGGGAAAAAAACCTCGTCCTATGAGCAGAACAATCCTGCTGGGATGATGATTGGTGAAGCCTTGCTAGGTCCTAGGTTGGAGCTTTTGTGTTGAAACAAAGATCAACATGTCCTACCAGGTACCCCAAATCGTTAGCTAAGTTGGTGCGAATCACTCCAATTTCACTCTGGTTTATGGTGGATATATCTATACTTTCTACTGGTTGGTGGTTTGGAACATTTGGACTATTTTCCCATTCAATTGGGAATTTTATCATCCCAACTGACTTTCACTCCATCATTTTTCAGAGGGGTAGGGCTCAACCACCAACCAGTCTATGGCCTATAAACCAATTTATACCTGGCGGGGTACCACCTTGTGCCATTTTTTTTTGGAGGGGGGTCGTGTCATCGACTTGGACCAGGATTGTTTCCCTCGGAAGTTTGAGCCATGCATTGAGTTTGTTTCTGTTGTAAATGGCACTTAAAAATCGTCATGTTCCAATCAATTGCCCTTTCGTTTCTGTTGTAAATGTTTCATTTTCCCAAAAGGCTGTACAGGGTGGGGCCCCCCAGTTATAAGTTGGTTTATAAACCATTATAATCCCCAGTAACTATAGTTATATCTACCATAAAGCCACTTATAAGGCAACTTAGCTATCTTGGGGGCCCCATCTTGTAGTATTTGACGAAAAATGGTGGAACATGTCGCGGCTCAGGCAGAGAAGTGTCAGTTTCTTGGACCTCAGAAAGTCGGTGGCATTGGTGGCCCGTGACCGTCAGCAAGTGTTTTTTTCAATATCGGAATGGGTCAAAACCTATCATACTAAGTTTAAGGCCTATCATACTAAGTTTAAGGAGTGTTTAAGGGGCCCATAAATGCCATAAGTTAGGTTTATATTTTTTTTCTTTATAAACCCCTTCTGAACATTAACATACATTAACTATAGATATATATCTACCATAAATCCTATCCGAATAAACCAACTGATCTATCTTTTGGTGCCCCACCTTGTCCCATCGATGAAAGTCCAGTTGCCATCCATGTTGCAGGTCAGCTAAGCTCGCTATGTGGAACGTTGCAATCCTGATCCTTGGAAGCCCAAGATTCCTTGAGATTTTGTGAATGGTGGATGAACAACACATGCTTCACTGTTCACTTTGGGGGTGTCCACTGTAGCAAGGATAGCAAGGTGTCTTGACCCCCCGTGTCGACTCGAAACGATCAATATGAGTCCCATGGCCACGAACAGCTCCTGCCACACTGTCTGAGATAGTCATTTCATGATTTTTCAATTTCAACATAGTTTAAATATCATTTGGCTGGTTTCATTGTTTATTTTCATATTTGGAATAATGATCTTCAACTGCTAACTTTCATATGTTTCAGGCGGTTCAAAGCCACAAACCAGTCACGCAGATTCGGGAGCCCGTCCACGAACCATCACACCATCACTTTTTGACTGATATCTCCTTTGCTTACATATTTTACATATGTTGATTGGCTTCATATGTTGGTGAATGAATTGCCCATGTTGCGGGTGAATTGTTTAATTTGGAGGTGCACTTACTGTAAGATGATGGTCATCTGAATCCGCCCCAAGGTTCCCGTCTTTCGCAAGAACGGAGTTCAAGGTACTGTGCGGTGCAAGTGCCCTGGGAAAATGCGAGACCAGTTCACGCATACCAATGTTTTTTTTTCATGGCCAGTATTTACTGGTTGGTGGTTTGGAACATTTTGGATTTTTCCATATATTGGGAATTTCATCATCCCAACTGACGAACTCATAATTTTCAGAGGGGTAGGGCTCAACCACCAACCAGTGATTTCGTGTTTCATCAACATGTTGGTCATTTCACTATTACTTCTTGACGGACGAGATTGTATCCGCAATTCCGATGGGGCCATAGGCATCCCCAGTTCATTCATGTGTATCTTCGTCCCATGTTTGATGATCATTGTCCTACTCAAGATGTTTATTCGGATAATTTGGGTAATTTGGTTTAAGATGTTGCTTTGTAACATGGCCCATTTAGTTACTTTTAGTTCAAGTCCTCCATTTTGCGCGCACCCATTGTTAGTGATGATTAACATCCGCATATATTATAATCCCATGTATCCCCATGTTTGCTGGTTAATCCCCGCCATTCGGTACCCAGATCATTTTCTTTAACATAGTGGAAATTCACCATGTGTAGATCATTTTCCGAGGAAATCATGGATTGTCCACCATGGTTTTTGGTATGTTTGCCCTGGGATTCCCTGGGGATTAAAAAAAACAACAGCGTTTTCCATGGTCTCCCAGAACTTGGAACAATGGCCAACGTTTCCAAGGACGGCCACAGAAATTATACCGAAGCGCTGGTCATGGTTGTGCAAATACGTTATATAAAATCATATACACATATAGAAACGTTTACATATATAATATATATATATATATATACACATAACTTATCTACAACATATTATAGATATACAGGTATACAAGCTAGTTTTCCTAAGTCCCCATGTCATCGCAAGAGGCCGCGTTCCCAGGTACCGCACTGAAGGGCTCTCGGCGGTCGCTGGCTATGACTTCACAGCGATTGAGGCCGCAGTTTTGACGAGTGGTGCTTGGAGAGTTCGGTGGAGGGCCATCTTCATGTAATGCATATACATAACTGTTGGCAAGGGAGTAATATATCACCAATGATGGGAATGATAGGGATAGACAACACCACTTAAGGTATGTAGATAACTATAAACAGATTTCCATATTGTGTAAAAAAAAATCCGTGACAGGTTGAGTTGTATTATGTTATATTATGTCAACATAAGGCCCCCCCAGTTATAAGTTGGTTCATAAGCCCGAGTAACTATAGTTATAAGTACCATGAACCATAGTTATTGGAGTTATAAACCAACTTAGCTATCTTGGGGGCCTCACATTGTATATATATATATATATACCCAACAAAATCATACATGATCACCTCTGCCGGCCCCCTGAAGGTGATCCCAATAAGGCATTGCGGTATCCCAAAAATTGTTGGCTATATGGGATATAGGGCAATGAACTAGCAGCACTAATATATCCGCATATATATATATATACATATATATATATATATGGGGATATATTAGGGCTAAAAGATGCGGGTTTAAATGGTAGGAATAGGATATCATGGAATTTACCCAACTTCAGGCTGATCTTGAGTTGGGATCTGGGAGCCCTCCGGTGTCATCAGCTCCACGGCTGGGAAATCCCTTATAAATCGAGGGTGTTTTTTGATCGGAACATCTGCATAAATTTCCATTGGCATGTTTGCTTACCGGAGAGACATATCCAAACATGGCCCATTCTTTCGTCGATTGAATCGTTAATATCCGAACCAAATCACTTGATCCATGGAAGGAAGCACGAGCATCGCAGTCGACTTTGTGGGAGGTTTAGGCCAGTGCAACCAGGAACTATGTGCGATAAAAAAAAACGATGCAGAAATCCATGGTTGTTTCCTGTTCAGAAAACGGTGTAATTCATGTTGGAGTTTCGATATCATCATATCTATAAACAAGTGTCAACCCCGGACAAGTGTTGTTTTCTCACAATAAGCATACTATACTAGGATGAGCGTGTCTCCACTGTCGAAGTTGACTGGCCGCCGCAGTTATAGCCTCCAGCTTCTCAGAATCGGAAAGGCACAACTCGATCGTCCAACCCGGTCGGTTTCACGGGTAGTGCAAAGGGGACGGATCACGTTGTGAAATCGTGCGGTGCCCAGAGATGGTCTTGTTGAATGTTGATAGAAGTGGTGCCTGCTGCAATGATACATTGGTTTTGTCCAAGAACCCCCCCTATGATTGCCATTTATATGTTAGAATACTATATCTGGTTGGTGATTTGTAACATGCTTTATTTTCCCCAAAAGTTGGGATGATGATCCAATCTGACTAATATTTTTCAGGGGGGGTTGAAACCACCAATTAATATATGCATGTATATATTACAATAAATTGACAAATGAGGATAAACATGGATAAACCATGGGATGGAACAAGGGCTACAGTACTGTAACACATTTTTTGACGCATCCATCTTATTCTTGAAGCCATTCGAAGCACCATTTTCCGTAGCATTCTGTAGCCAAGTCAAAGGAACTTCTCTAGTTCCTTGTGTTGTCTTTCTAGGTGATTTTAGATCTTGGATTTTTAAGTCAGAATCATTCCCTACGATTACGGTGTGAGCCTCATATTCTTCCTATTCTGATGTGGGGGCGGAATGGGGATAGCAATGGACGCGCAAGATTGATCTCTGAATTCCTCTACCATTCATTTTATTCTTTCCTCAATACTTCGGTACTGAGAGAAACCATTGTAACGATTTGTTTCAGGTTTTTTAATTTATATGTGGATGGGTCAATACCTATTAATACCATTTTTAGTTGGTTATTCACATCCATAAATTCCAGCTATTTTGATGTGAACAAAAAAGGGGTACAAGGTTTTGACACACTGCCATATGGGTATGGGTCAAAATTAGGTACCCCAAAACTATGGATGGTTAATACTAAACTAGACATTCACATTTGTGGTCCCATTAATGGTCTTCCATTTTGACCCACATCCAGGTGTGAAACTTTTGCCATGTTGGATCTTGGAAGATCATCCCGTCGAGCCATGTCTGTTTCGTACCTCCAGGGATGACCTGTTCAAAGGCTGAAAAGTCGTTACTGGCGTCATCGCCAGTGCTTCAGGAATTCCATAAAAATGATGCCCATCTTTTCCTCGTATGATATATATATAATATAATTAGTATATATATAATGTATAATATAAGATAATATATATATATATATATACAAAACTGGGTCATCTTGGGGTAAATGTTTGTAAATACATATTCCATACATGGAGCTGTTGGATATCCTTGGATGGGGCTCCGAGGTACTTCATCCGCTGAGAAGCAGGTGCAGTTGAAAAATGTTGGCGATGAATTTCTCAGTTGAAGTGTATGTATAATATATAGTTTACAATCATGATATGGGTATGGATCAATACCTATTAATACCATTTTTAGTGGGATGAACATCCATTTACCAGCTATTTTGATGTTCACCAGGGGTACCAGGTTTTGACACACTGCCATATATGTATACATGATATGATACGATATGATATGATATAACTACATTATGTAAAATAAATAGAACATACACTGTATTTAGCAACCTTCATAAAAAGATACGCAATAGGTCAAATCCTACTAACACTGGATAGAATATATGTGTATATAATTATAGGAGAGTGGCAGGTCATTTGCCACCTTATTGGGCTTGGATGGCTTACTGGGACCCAAAAGACTTTGGATGAGCCGGGAGTATAAACGAATCTACAAATGGGGGGAATCACCTTGTAGTTAACTATAGTTAATCGCAGGTGATAAAGTTGGATTCCACAACCATGGGAAGTTTCAAGAGTCCCATTGATATCAAGCGTGACGTTTCATGGGCATTCGTTTGGCCGTCGAATGGCGAGCAAGTGATGTCCTTCCTGATTAAATCATCACGTATCATTCCCTTTTGACTATGTCCCATTTATTTTCCAGTTATACCGTTATACCCTCCATTTCATGCGAATTGAGGGTAAGTTTGGCAATGTCGATGTCCTGAAGGTGACTTTTGAGCTTTCCATTCGTCAATCCACGACTTGGGGAACCTATTGGGAATATTGGCATATCATACAGTAGTGGGGATTCCCGAAACCATTGACTTGTTCACTCCTAAAAATTGACGAATATGCATGATCTTGGGAGTCCCCAAAACTAGAAACCACCCTATGTGACATCATTTGTCCATGAAGTGCAAAAAGTCTTGGGGTAACCTCTGGTTATTTAACGTAGCCATGGAAAATCACCAATTTCTGACGATATAGTCATTACCAATGGTGATTTTCCCTAGCTATGTTAAATCACCAGAGAGTAAATCAGGTGTCCTTGGATTTCCCCCCGAAATGCAACATAATATCTTGAGAAATCTTAATTAAGTATACTATCTCCTCTTAGTGCAAGTCTTATATATACATATTGTATCATATTGTAATATTATATATATATATATATTATGTATATATATACATAAATTTATGTGTATATATATATATATATATCATTTCCATAGGTGAATCTTGGTGCAATTCCCCTAAGATCTTCAAGGATTTCCATCCCCCAGTCCGCGAACTCAACGTCTGAGATATGGCTGAGAGCGACAGCCGAAACACCTCTGCTGCTCGGCCAGGTTATCACGTGGGACATGAACAACGAAACGTGTTAGCCACGCATTTCATTGGATTTCCAGTGGATTTTATAGGATGTTCATGGGAAATAATGGGAATATCATGGGTTTTTTTTAGGTGTTAATATGGAATATCACGGGAATATAATGGGATTCAATGGTGATATGAATGGGATATTACTGGAAGGTGTGCAATATATGATGGGATACTATTGTTGCTCGATTATGATGGTGTTTCATACACCCTGTTTTGATAAGGATTGTGAACTAGACCAGAATGTATTTCATGGGATGGGACGGAGGTACAGTGCCGAATCACGGCTCACGTGAGAGACAGGAGCGTCATGAGGAAATAAACAAACATGTGAAAGTGAAAACATATGTATATATATATATATGGTTGGTGGTTTCAAAGCAGTTTTATTTTCCATAATATATGGGATGTCATCCTTCCCATTGACTTTCATATGTTTCAAGACGGTTAAAACAACCAGAGTGTGTAGATCCCCGGGGATCTTGAGGTTTGACCCCATGTTCAGTGCACGTGCAGGTGCCGTTTGATCATGCAGAAAGATACTGGAAATCCGGTACTGTATCAACGGTATAAGGAGTGGCCACGAACCATGTATTATATACCAGTATACCTGCATTTATAAACCTGTGCAATATATGGATTCTGTTGTTTATGCCGATTTATGACTTGTTTATACATATACATATACGGTTCTTCGTAGTTCTAGATGCCTACCGTTGATATGTTTGTTAAATTCCTGTCATGGTTCGTGATATGCTTCACATTTTCATGTTCTTGCGAAAGTCAATTGCATCCCCTGGTTTTCCCAGGTTCCAGGTTTGAGTTTTCTTGCTTGGTTCATTATGTTTCATTCCATACAATCATGATGTGGATAAGAAGATATGTTGGTCACTTTGAGCATGCCACCGTTTGTCAGTGTTACACCCAACAATATATCAGTAATTCCAAGTGGGCATCGTTTATACAACTTTTACAAAATAATAAACTTACTGGTGCTTAGCAGGGAATGACGGAATGATCCATAATCACTAGTAATAATCATCCCATTCCCCCATTCCCATCCATTCCCTGCAAAGTTGTTCAATTGGGATTTGGGCATGATCATTGTTCATTGAGTGTACTGGACTTTCCTCAACCTTGATGGTCTTTTTTTGCTCATATCCCGCCATTCATGTAACTATGGTTGATGCCAAAAACCTCCATAAAGCAGGACAAAAGCCACATCCTGCAGGTTCCCATCTAGGTAATTGACTACCCCAGGGTAAACATACAAAAAGATGCGGAATACCCATGGCTTCCCTATGAAAAAAATCAAATAGTGGATTTTCCCAGATCTATGTTGGGTTATTGCCATCGTGGTTGTTTTTTTTTCCAGCATCTTATACCTCAGTGAAAAGATGGAATACCTCCAATCATACATGAGTTACCCTCCGGTTATTTAACGTTTCTAAGTTCGGTAAATCAATATGTTTATCATCTAGTTCTATGCAACATAGTAAATACATGTAAATACCATAGTTCTGTAACAAGTAACTATGAGTGGGTTGATTATAAACCACCTACTAGCTATGCACATCCAAGAGGGTTGAGCCAAAACCGCTACACTACAGGGCCTCTTTGAAATCATGCGCTGCGCTCGACGAAGGCAGATTTGGATTCAACTGACCATCTGGGATTTAACTGGTTTAACCATCAAAAAGATGGTGTTAACTGGTTTAAGCATCAAAAAGATGGATTAAGCGGTAAGCTGAGAATCTTAAATGGGTTGGTCTGAAAAATTACGGGGAACATCATTCCATCCATCGGTCAATCATAATTATGTGCTCATCAAAGTTGCTATTTCGGGGGTATAGCCCATGTTCAGTCACACACTAAATTATTTTTGGCATTTAAGTGGACTTGTGGATTTTGGCCTATCCCCAGCTAAGACAGTTGGAGCAAACCACCATTTAACTTGTGATAATATTTGATGATGTGTATATTCAATGGTCTTGTTCAGCAGTAAAACAATCCCTGTTTGTGGCACTTCTATGTGTTAAGGAAATACCTTGGTGGTATTGGCAAACTCTCTCAGAATAAAGTGTGCAAGCGCGCCTTATTAAGGCAGACTCATGCATCAAAAAGGATGAAGCCGGTTGTCTAATCACACTGCCAGTCACGATTGATAGTGAAGTAACTGCTTTCAATTAACCCAAAATTCCTGCCCCAAAACAGACCATTTCCGCAATTGCATGTATCCTCGGAATCTGCTTAATTAATTCCATTGACTCTACATTGGTATGCGGTATAGTTGCCTTGACTGGTCTTGTCTTTTTGGGTGGGGGTTGTGTCAAAACTTGGAACCCCGAAATCCTGCCGTTTGTCGGTTTCGGTTTATGCTCACCATTAAAATTGCCTTTTGGTGTATTCCTCATCTTGAGACAAAGCCTGACGTCATTTTGACGGTTCAACGATCGTTGACTCATCGCAGGCCTTCCACTGAGTTGAACATGGAACTGCTGCAGGCCGTTGAAATCAACAGGTCCTGTGGAGATGAATCTTAAGTTCCAAAGTTACGTTGGGATACGTTGGGGACTATACAGACTATACAGTGTTCTGGATTCCCCTATTGTTTTACATTGACTTTCCAATTGCATGGGTTGTCCAGCAGAGTGGTGTGATCACATGGGTGAAGAAGCTGATCCTACTGCTGGAAAATGTGGCAGATGGCTGCAATGTTTGGATCGTTTTGGTGTGTTTCATTGCCCATCATTGAAACTGATCAGCCATGTATGTGTTCGCAATGATCAGCTCAACATGAGCAGTTCTCAACAAGTTCTCAGATTCAAGTTGCTTATGCACTTTCCTGTAAATACTTCATGAGCATGATACATATTTGAGTTCATATATTCACATGACAGGGCCCTCTTGGACGATACCAATGTGTACGCTAGCATTTCAGGTAGGTGTTTTTTTGCTTTTGTTTTTTCAGAGATATACTACATACTGTAGATTCAATAAGGACATCAACTGAAGCATCTCCAGTTTTCTCCGGTTTGTTGTGTCTTGATTGATATCGTGCTAGCTGGCTGGGGCTGACGGAAGGTGAAGTGGGGACTGGGGACTGTTGGGAGAGGATTACCAATCCCCCAAAATGGATGGTTGATAATGTGGTAAACCCCATGTCATAAACCATCCTACTATAGCCCAAAAACCATGAAAATCGGCAGGATTCAATCCATTCCCAAATGACAGGTTTATGGCAGTTTACCACAGTACCAAAAGCGATGAGCCATTTGTGGCTTGTGGGTCTGTATGTCCACTTGTTCCAGGGCCACAAGCCTGCACCCACAACAGCGCAGGGGAAGCAGTTGCCCACAGTGCTGGGCAATCGCCAAATCCTGTCGCCTGGGGACTTGAGGACTGGAGGTGAGTGTACACCAACCTTGGAACCAAGTCGAACCCCAGTTGAGTGGCTCCTGGGGACGATGGTTTCAGGGGAAAACTCGTTGTTCTTCAATTTGGTCTTGGGTTTGAAAATGGTCTACTGCCAATTTCATTGAATGATCATGTTCCATACTTGGTGGCTCATCCCACTTAGTAAGTGGGTTATAACCCCAGTTATAAGTGGATTAACCCTAGTTATCCATAGTTATCCCATTTATAACTGGGGTTATAACCCACTTACTAAGTGGGATGAGCCACCAAGTATCAGATGGCCTATATTCTCCAGATGAAGTTGTTCCGCGCAGCTGGACTAGAGATTTTGAGCCTAATCTGACAGCCCAGCCATGATTCCCTCACACGTCTCAGCTTACAAAATGATTGGACTGGTTAATAATTGGTTGAAAAATTGTGGGTACACCTGCCAGAACCAGGGATGGGGAAGAAACATAGGCATGATAGTGTTTTTTGGGGTGGCTGAGACACTTTCATTCAAGTTTGAGTTGTTGAAACATGGACCAATGATTATCGTTTAGACCCCTGAAACAAAAAGATAGAACATGAACAAGACATGGCATCCGAAGTTGATTTTGATATCGATATGGGCGTTGTCAGAAAATGGTGCACCCCATTTCAATCCTTCCTTTCGCCATGTTTTCTGGCTGAACTCCAGCAGCAAAAATCGAGGCCTCAGACCGAAGGCGCCAGCGATGAGAAGCCGAAGAACCCCAAGTGGGTTTGGGAACTCAACTGGACTCAGCCCGGCCAGGCCAAAAAGATGGAATTGATTGAAACTAGCTGGGTATACCCCACTCTATGGCAATTATTTATAGTAACATTATGTGTATATAGTATTTATAGTTATATAAATTACAACTAATATGTACGTATATATATATATAATGAATTAATTTGTTTTGATAGGAACAATTGTTGAGCAGTGGCTTTTGGTGTAAGCCATATTTCATATTTCAGACAAACCCATATGAGTATGTTTTTTTTTTGGTAGTCAATCCTACCACGGATACGTGACCCTGGGAAAGCTGGCACAATTCCTGGGAGGTGATGGTGGGTGAGATGTTGTTAAAACTGAGAAGACTTTGGAATGACAATAACAAGACTTTTTGAATGACACATAAATGTATATCATAGTTTCAACTTCTGTTATCAGATAGATATGCTTTATTTTTGAACAACTCAGAAGAATGATGGCATGGTTATTCATATGCAGTATAACCTGGGTATTTTACTGTATATACAGTTTCTGTCAAATAACCAATGTTACAACCACAACAACCTTGGCAATTGAATATCAACTTGGCACACTCCGAGGCCAATATCATGGTGGACACCTGCAGTCCCAGTTCGACGTCACTGGGCCGATGTCGGACAGTTATATATACTACATATACCTGGTTGGTGGTTTGGAACATGGCTTTTATGACTTTCCATATATTGGGGATGTCATCATTCCAAGTGACGAACTCATATTTTTCAGAGGGGTAGGTATACCACCAACCAGATACACATAATATTTGTATAATACAAACTATAGTATGATATTATATATATACGTATGTATAAGTATTCACTGATATATGACTACCCATGTTTATGGCTACCTTGAAGGTCAAGAAAGAACACGTTTATTTGATACTAAAGCAAGGTTGCAAGGAGGTATGGAACGGGGACCATCCTTTTTGGGTTTGTCTACTGTAAATAGGATACCTCAAGATCTTACTGTTAAACAAATTCGTGCCCTACTAGAATGGCAATATTGCACTATCCCCCATTTAAAAAAAACACACATCATAAAGCTGGTTCTCTAATAGAATATATATATATATATGATACATACACAGTTACACATAATATGTATATATACAGTGTGTATATATATATACAGTATATATATATTATAACTATCACATTAGATAGTGTATCCCATTGTTTCTTGATTTGCCAATCTATGGTTGTTCACCCAGGTGTGAGCCCGAGTCTGGCGCTTGGCCGGCTGCGGAATGGACTGCTGCGTACTGTTTATGCATAATATGTCATGTATATCAACATGTATATCAATATTTATATATAAGATTGTAGTTTGGAGTTTTGCTGGTCGTCATTCAGAAACCACAGTCATGTCCTGTTGCTTTTGTTGTTTACTTCACTGATTGTTGGTGGTTGGTTGCAACACAAAAAAAAAATGTTTTTGGGTATGTTGGGACTGCTGGGATGAATCTTTGGTAATTTAACATAGCTAACATCAAATTTGTCGATAGGTAAATCCTCTATGAATGGTTCATTTTCCAGAGCTATGTCTGAAAAAAAAAAGCCCAGCGGTACAACTTGTGAGCCCTGGGTCCCGTGTACGTCCGGAATTCCTAAGTGCCTTGATGATAGCCAGACTGTGTCAGGTTCGATCCCAAATTTAGCACATTTTAACCGCGAAAGTACCTGGAAAATATCACCATCTAATGGTGATCTAATATGTGTTACATCTAATATTGACATTTTATCTATATAATTCTGATATTTCGTAACAATATCACCATCTCTATGGCAAACAGGCGACACGAAGTGAGCACAGCCGGACCAAGAGCCTCCGGCAGTTTGTAAACTCCATTGTCCGCCCAGCATTGCGTTGCAAATATGGAAAGTTCAAAAAATCCTTACTAGAATCACTAGAATGGGAATATCTTTGAAAATCCCAACAAAATCATCTCTGATCTGATTATGGATAATATATATAGTTATATATATATACACAATGTATAGTTAGTGTAATATACATACAATGATTTTAGTTGGCGTAGTCCCACCAGTCCTCGATGGGTTTTCCCAGCCTCCTTGAGCTGACACTGGAGGATATCGGTTGATATCCCAGTAACGATCCATTAAATATCGAATGGCTAAACATATCATTGCTGGTTGGTGGTTTGGAACATGGCTTTTATGACTTTCCATGTATTGGGAATGTCATCATCACAACTGACTCATATTTTTCAGAGGGGTAGGTATACCACCAACCAGATAAATGTTAATACCATTAAATGTAATCCAGTAATTAATGGTGAATTAATGGATCATTAGTAATTATCCATATCCCAGTAAATACCATGAAATCCCATTAATTCACCATTGTTCATGGCTAAATCCCCATTTATATCGCATATTATCGCATTATATCCTTGTAAATGTCCATTATATAACTGGATTCCCCATTGATTAATCATGTTTCGATGATCGTTTTGGAGATGTTCCAATGCTACCCGAGGGTATAGCCGCTAGTTTGATATACATATAGATATATACACATCATTGATGTATCTATCATAAACCTAAGGCAAGCTACTGAACAATGGATAGTGCAATATATGTACATAACATACCCTCTGGTAATTTAACGTAGCTATTGAACCTGGCCATTTAGTTTGTTGATTTACTCATCAATAGCATGGTGATTTTGCATCACAAACTGTTAGTTTCCCAGAGGGTAATGGGTCCAGACTATAACTATAATAGTTACATCACATAATACAATGTACATAGCCACAATAATATACAGTAATAGTTTTAATATATTATATAATATCTTATAATAGTGACACCACCATGTACATATAGTACATCATCATCATGTTTAGTAGGTGAATCACCTCTGAATGGCAATTTTATATAAGTTAGTTTCCCAGAGGTTTTTTTGTAAACTATGCCTGGAGCCAAAGTGCCAAGGCCTAGTCCTGTGCACACCACTGCCAGTGAGTCCAGTGAGGATCCAAGAAAACTCCCTGCAAGCTGGGATCAAATAACAAACGGCTAACGGCTAAGTAGGATTTATGATATGTATTGTATATGTAAAATTATATATATATATGAGCAACCGTAAAAACCCCGGCAATACTAAATATGTATTCGACGGACATTGGTTTATGGAAATTGATGGAAAGTGTTAAAAACACGAGGTAAGCGATGGGACCTTCCCAAATTAGCGATACCCCTTTTCAAGGTTATGTCATCATATTTCTCTACTATCCACATTAGCGATACCCAAATATCACATATTATTCATAGTTCATCACACACATATATATATATATATACGTATATATAAATGCAGCAGTTTCCTGCAAGCGATACCCCCCAAGTTTACCAAATATCATTATTGTACAAACGTGTGGTAAGCGATGGGACCTTCCCAAATTTGTGGATGTCCTTTCCGTGAACCTAGGGTTTTCACAATCGCTCATATAATTGTATATGTAGATGTATATATGTATAGGTATAGGCATAGGTATAGTTAGTTGGGGTATATGTATATATGTATAGGTATAGGTATAGTTAGTTGGGTGTTTGTGGGATTTCCGTCGAAACAAATGGTGTATCTAATGACAATGGAATTTCATAGAAATGAATAACCACGGCAATAGAAATATTTATTAGATACATGGTGGAATAGATATGGAAACAGTGATGGAAATCAAGAATAACAATGACAATAACAGTACCCTCTGGTAAACATACAAAAAGCTATTGAAAATGGCCATAGAAATAGTGGATTTTCGCATTACTAGCATGGTGATTTTCCATAGTTATGTGAACGTTTACCAGAGGGTAATTAATAATGTATAGTGATGTTTGGATTGTTTTTCCAGCGGTTTTTAAAATTATATCCACCAGCAGAAATCCCGCTGCTTGGTGGAATGGCTTCTACTCCAGCGTGAGTGAATTATATTTTAACGATACTTGTCAAGTGGAGTCATTAGACATTATTATTGATTATAGATAGTGATATTACATGTTTGTCAATTTGTTCATCACCATATTTTTTGATGCAACAATCATTGAGAGACTGGCAGCGTTTGTTGCTAACATTTTCTGGGAAATCCTTACATGGATTTGGATGGGTAGTTTAGTACAGTTTCGTTCTTTGCATGTCTTTGATTATATGTGCCTTGTTTTTGGATTAGTTGTGACAGAGGAAAAGACGGGCGGGGTATCCAAGATTGGCCATCTTTTCATACATGTTTTTTTCTGACAGTAGATGAACATAGTACCCCTAAATACAGTATCTGTCATCATTTTCACGACAACTTGTGACAAATATGGCCATTTGATACCCGATTTCAGACACAACCAGGACTTTTTCATGCGCTTTGTGTTCAGCACGTGCATTTGGTATCCCGAGCCAAGGTTCTACAGATGAATACCGAACTCAGTCACTGACCAAGGACCGTTCAAAATCTGTTTGGGGGGTCCTTCCTGAATTGGTTAGAAGTTTTTCATAGGAACATCCTTTAGATAGATAATAGATAGATAGATAGATCGATAGATCGATAGATAGATAGATAGATAGGTAGATAGGTAGATAGGTAGATAGGTAGATAGGTAGATAGGTAGATAGGTAGATAGGTAGATAGGCAGATAGGCAGATAGGTAGATAGGTAGATAGATAGATAGATAGGTCGCAGATAAATAGGTAGATAGGTGGATAGCTAGCTAGATAGCTGGCTAGCCAGATGTATGTTTTTCCTTTTATATACATCAAACCATCTGGGGAGCAGGCTTTGTCGGATCAGTAGCTATCTTCCAGACTATGCGTTTGATAGACAAAAAAGAACGTACACCAACACCACTTGTTCATTTGTTTTTCAAATAGTTGTTAAACGTGAATCGAAAGGAAAACCACTAACCACAACTAATCATGATCACGTTACTTGGTGCATCCCATGGATTACTTTGTTTATCTAATGATCACCAACCATGTGGATGGGTCGCCATTGCCTGCAGGAGCTGCGCAGGCCCTGCTTCAAGAAGCCCAGTCCTGAGGTTCGATGCTGTGGTTGGATTTAAATGGATGACTCAATGGAAAATCTGATGATACCACCCGCAACTAAATGGTGATGGTTTACTTGGGTTCAATCGAAATTATGATTTCATGGCGGTTTGGGCTGGACATGTTTTGAGTATATACCAGTCCTTAATTGGCGATATCTATATAATATTTATAGACTATAGACAATATGATATAATGCCCTTTCAAGTACACCCTATTTTCAGACAAACCCATTTGAAGTTTTACGCCTAAGCGGCCTCTTTTCTTTTGCATTAATTAGCTTAGACTTCTGCTGGAAGTCATTCAGATTTCCTGGATTCCAATATGGTTGATGTTCATCCATCACGTTAGAATGAAGCAGCTGGGTGTTCATGGTTGGATTCGCGTGACGAATGTTGTGATGGATAGGTATAAAATCGTATGTATATATATATAACCGAGCATATTATAAGGATATCATCAATATATACCACAATATCCACTATAACATCACTATAATAATATTCCATATTCTCCATATTGTGATATTTAAACCACTATTAATCCACTATTAACATGTGATATTCAACCGATAATCCCAAGATCTGAGCTGCCAACCCTCGTTGGAAAGATCAGTGGGTAACATGGGGTTAGCAGTTTGATTAGGGATTGAGATGTTTTATGTAAGCTACTTTGGTGAACATATTGGAAGGCATGTGTGTGATGATTGTTGTGGAAAGGTATGGAACTAGTTCTATTGATGTTCGTGGATGTTTATTCATAACGTATAATACGTTTATTTGCTCTTGTAAATCCTCAAAGAGTGAGTTATGTTTATCCCGGTTCCATAGCAAAGAAACCAGAGGATTTCTACGTGGGGATAAACCCATCGCAGCATCCCAGCTGCCAGCCAAAAGCCAGGCCAGAATCCGCCAATTGAATGAGGAATTGCATGAGTACTGTACCCTGTCCTTTGATGAGGCCATGCCGCACATGCCGCATAGAGAGGGGAGATGTAAAAAAAACATTGGGACCCAGGAAACAACAGGGGAAGGGAAGATGTTTGAGAAGTGTTCGAGACTTTAACAGCTAGTTTGGGTATAGTTTTGAAGTTAAGTACTCCATATGGCGAATTTGGCAGTTCGACTTTTCCAAATTCGGATGCCAGGTCAGAATTGGGATCTGTGTGGGTTCTTGGCTCTAAGTTGGGAGAGTTCATTCAGTGTATGCGTAGAGGAGGTCACTTGAGGCTGCTGCACTGGATAGAATCTTTCTGGTTTGCATCACTCATTTTCCAGCATGTCCATGTGACATCATATGAGATGAATTCTGAATGATCGTGAAACGACTTATGATCGTAATCTGATGGCGACCTGGCAAGAAATGGCGACATGCTTCACATAACTTCGCATAAATCATGACAAAACAATTCTATCCAGAAGTTTGTTCATTCCAAGTTCGGAAAAACATAATGTGGTAACCCAATCCAAAACCTACCATTTGGGGATGGTTTGAATCCTACCCATTTAGGCAAATATCATTGGGAAGTTTTGTTTTTTTTTCGCAGGGGTTTTACCCAAACTTCTGCCGGTCAGGTGGATCCCTTTCAACAACAAGGCCGGGGCTTGTAGCCGGGGCATCCCAGTGAAGCTGATCAAAATGATTAGGTCATAGTATGAACTAAAAAATAATCATCTGATCATATAAAGTTGTCAAAAGATTGTAGTTTATTGATGATCATGATTATCCCAAAAAAGTGCTTTCAACAAGCACCACCTCCGTGCGTGAAACGAATCCCGAAACGTAAAGCCCCAAATGAAAGTGGCGCGGTTGGATCATCCCACTTCGCAAGGGCCCTGGGCTTCGAACCACTTTCCGTGGAATGATCCACCAAAATTGTCGATGCAGACACGAAGAAATCAACATGAACCCCCTGGGAAGCTGTTCTGCGTGAAAGTGTTGAGGTCTCAAGGCTATTCACTTGGATGATGGCGCGCCAAAATTAGACATAGTTTGGGAATACCATCCTGTCGTCTAACCTGCCAGTGGAAGATCCTTCAGTCATAGTTATGTCCACTATATGAATATGTATTTTTTTCCCAATGAGAATGTTTGCATTTTTTTGTGCCACTCGTATTAGTGAGGGGAAGCATCAGCAAAAGTCTCATACATTCTCCTAGCATATCAGTTGCCAAGTGGAACGCTGGTCCAGTACTTAAACCTTAAAGTAGCCAAAACAAAATGATAAATTGATATGCCCTCAGGCAATCAAACGAGGCTGGACAATCTCCGTGGAATTGTCATTGCAATGCTTGTTTACCGGCGGGTAACATTGGGGTCAGCATATGATATGGATTTGTCTTGAAATGTGCTACGCCCATACAATCTCAAACAATATGGACATTTCAACGGGAAAATTATGATTAAATATGATTAACCAGTGGATTTAGACGTGCCCTATGTTTAGATAAACCGTTTTTGGTATAAGACAAGGCACCATATTTTTCAGACGGTCAGAGAGTTCATTCAGAAAGTGGGCAGGTTTGACCTGCCGAATGCTTGCCTTCTTAAAAAGTCTGAGCTGCTTGGCGAAGCGGGGGCATTTCGCAGTGACTGGGTTGGGGGTTTCTATGTGCATGGCTTTAGTGTTGTATATGAACAAGGTTGCTTACTTTGGAGCTTTAAATCTACAGGTGAGGCAGAATATGATTTTACAACCAATATCCACAGGATAGAACCCCAAAATCAGGGGTGTTTGAACCATATTTGCAACTGATGGATACTGTTTTGGGTTTACCAACAGTGCTAAAAGGAGATTGACCAACAATCAATGGGAATATTAAAAGATGTTAATCAGCAACCAGGATACAACCCAGTAAAATCTGGTGGTTTCAAAGATGTTCGCTCGGGGCGGTCACGGAATGGGTTGTTCAACTGTCCACCAAAGTGCAGTACCAGTGTTCACTAAGTGAACGTATCACCAGAGTCAAAGGAGTCATATCACAACTTATAATAATAAAAGAATACCATGGTTATACCGTGGTTATAGCCAGTTGGTTATAGCCATAAAAGTTATGACTCGGGTGATACTTATAAAAGTATACAAAAAGTTATGACAGAAAACTTATTATAACCATAACTTGTGAGTCATATCAGAAAGTTATACTATGCCCAGAAGATCGAAGTAGACAAATAGGGCAGTATCGGCAAAGTAGGTCCCACAAGGGTACTTTTCTGACAATGCCCAAAAACATATACTTATCGGATTTTTATATATTTTTATCGGATTTTTGTCGGATTTTCCTGGATGTCTAGGCAACAGTAATGATTAAAAGACCCAATATGTCAAAATTTGTCAGGATCTACTTTTGGGTTGTGCGTGACAGACCGTGACGAACCCGTGACACCCCGTGACGAATACATATTTTCTTACTAAAAATGTTGACTTATCGGAAAACGACCGTGACAGGCCGTGACAGCCCGTGACAACCCCTTCAAAACCAGATCTTCATGGATAGACAAAAACACATGGCTTTGAGATTCTTGGTGTTGCTCTGAATCTGACTCCCAATTTAATGGGAAAAACACGAGTTCCGTTAAGTATGGGAATTTGATGCACTTACCTCCCTTTAACCCCTAAGTAGCTTAAAAACAACTACTTTCTGATAAGTGAATTTATAGCACCATCTTTTGATCCTTAGGGATGGTTACAGCATGTTATAGCCATAGAAGTGAAGCTCTGTCCACCCCTACGTATCCACCTGCGGCTTCGCTGGCTGGAAAATCCCCTAAATGCTGGTATTTTCATGGAAAAAATATGGAAACATATAGCAAATCATCTATAAATTGGACATTGCTAATTATTCGAATCCATTTATCCATTATATCACATTATATGCATCTGTGAATGCATGGTTATCCTCGTCCTGTGCAAAATGGAGGCTTTAAAGAAAAAGTGATAGATGACTGGGGAATGTTAGATGGAGGGTATATCATTGAATCCTCCGCCTCCGTGTTTTAATGGTTGTCTGGTTGGTGCTTTGGAACATGGCTGGATTATGACTTTCCATATCTCGGGAATTCATCATCCCAACTGACTTTCACTCCATCATTTTTCAGAGGGGTTGGTTGAAACCACCAACCAACTAGATTATTATTAACCATCATGAACCATCATCATAACCATTAATATGAACCATCATCATTAACAGTATATTACCAACCATTGGTAGGTAGGTATACCAACCACCAACCAGTTGAAAATCTGGGATGTTTCTGGTTGGATTCTGGTTGAGATTCGCAGCTGTGGCGAGGTCGTGTTTTGAGTTGGCAAGACGGCAGGAGGGCCCAGTCGGCCCAGCGCAGAGAGACGCTCTTGGATGTTTCTATCGTTGGTGGCTGCCGATGTATCTACTGCGAATATTGTGTATTCGTTAAGATTTGTATGTATTAATTATATATATATATACAGTCATTGTATATATAGATAGATATTATATATGTATCGTATGAATACGTCTATGTATGTCTATGTTTTTTTGATTTGCACTCATGTCAATTCCAGTCAGATGATTTTGTTACTTTAAGTTACTTTGCCATGTCGGCTAGAGCATCCACATTGTTGGTTTCAATCACAAGTTATTTCCTTCAATTCCACCAACAACCAGTTCCCATCAACGAAAAACACAACATCATCAAAACTCAGTTTGAAATTCAATCACAAACTCACAATGAACTGGGTTTTAATTCACAATTTCCATAAAACCTAGAGAACCTAGAGAAAACATCATATGTCCATATAAAACTCTACAAAACTCAGAATTTCCACCGTGTTTTTCTTGCACACCAGGTGATGAGCGAGGTGAGACACCAGCCTATGAGATGTTGGACCTCTCCGAGGCGACATATCCCTATGGATCCGAACACTGAGAAGGTACTTAACCCCTAAATAATACCCCAAGTACTTACTAAGACACTACTTGGATCCATAGGATATATATATATTATAAGTAATAGTAATAATCATAGGGTCCACAAGGTCAGCAATGATGAGGTAAACATACAAAAAGATGTGGACAACCAATGGTGTTGCAATCGGAAAATGATCATACGTTCATGGTGTGTTTTCCACGTCTACATACGTTGGTTTACAGTTCCCCAAGTGCGCTCAGTGGAGTATCCCATTTTGCAGCGGCTTACAAGAAGAATCATGAGTATAGTTGCTATAAGAAGCTGCCAATCAGGTATTAAAAAGGGTTTAATATTCCCCAGTAGTTGGTTATTAATTACTAAATCTATGTGGAGGATCCACAATATGTATGGTTTACATACATATACTGCAGACGGGCTGTCGTGCATAGCTGTCCATTATTGACGAACATTTTGCCCACGACCCAAACATGGAGCAGGTAGGCTCAGACTGGGTTCATTTTTATGGGGGAGAAAACTTGTGTTTTTAGCTTCAAAACTATTGATGTGAAGATGGTTGAACCAGCCAAAAAATCGAGTGAAGATGTTTTTATTTGTCAAGATTCGGTTCGTGTTCCCAGATCTGATGCTACCAGCAGTGCCAGGTGGATCTGCAAATGTTCAAAGTTGTGGCTCAAAAGGCTGACGAACTGATCGAAAGGCATCGCTTTCGTCAGGCTTAGCGGATCCGGATGGAGTTGTGGTTATGACATATGGAGTTATACTGGATTACCATGTTATATGTATTTATATATATATATATATGTTATACAGTAAACCCATATTAGGAGCTAGTAATCCAGTATAACTCCATATTAGTTATAAACCCATCTTATGGAGCTGTTGATTCGGGATTATGTTATAAACCCATATTAAAAAAGTTGTCGACCAACACCCGTATCATGAGATGGATTTTAAGGGTATGTTAAATGGTGGAAATGGTTCTGCCAAGGTCAAGACGAGTTCCGTTTGAACGTACCCTCTGGTAATTTAACACAGCTATGGAAAATCAACATCTTTAATGGTAAATCAACTATAAATGGGCCATTTTCCATAGCTATGTTAAATTACCAGAGGGTATTGTTGTTTTACCAAAGGCATTTTTTGTCTTACTGGTGCTAAACGCAGGGAATTTTCGGGAATGATCCACTGGCTAACTATCAATATCTATCAATAATAATCCCAGCAACCCCCAGCAACCCATCCATTCCCTACGTAAAGCGCACCAGTAAGTTGTTTTACCAAAGGCATTTTTTGTTGAACATGGTTCATTGTCATGGGGATTCCACAAGATCTAGATCAGGGTGTTATTCAAAACAGTGGAAATTACCAACAAAACCAGGGAACACTCTGTTGAGCACGTTTTTTTGCATTGAACATGATCATGAAATGTAAGTTCCAGATGATCTTGCGTTGTCTCGAAGATAAAAAACATATGGGTACGCTAGATCCCCTTTAATCACTGATTGGTGGTTTGGATCATTTATTTTTCCATAGATTGGGAATAATCATCCCAACTGACTAATATTTTTCAGAGGGGCTGAAACGTCTAATTCGTTGAGTCGTGTTTTCCCATTGAGATGGACATCACTTGGGGATATCTCCCATTTTTGGATACGGCCAGACTTTTTTATCCCCTGATGTAACGTCATGCAACTGATGGCTCAAGTGGTTGTTGCTTTGAAATATACATTTGCTGTTACTATTTAAACATCCTAGTTGTGATATGAGCTGACTCATGTTATGTTTCGGGTTACGGGTTGAAGTGACAGCAACTAGGGCACATGGTATGACACCCAGGAGATATTGACGGTATTCTTCAGTAAAACCTTGGGGTTTGGGCCAAAACCACCATCTTTTGCCATGTCAAAGCACCAGTTCCGAAGCAAGAAACGACTTCTGCATCATTCAGGAATTCACCATGATTTTGGACAAAAACTATGCCAGGCTTATGAGCTGCTTTGCCGCATGCGGCCCTGCCTGTCCCATCAAGGTTGATGGCGGGATGGCTAGGGGATATCTCTTTTGCTTCCTGGGTGCGATGATATTCTGGGAAAGATATGGGAAACATATGGACATACTGGTAGATGAAGTACTGTAGATCATGATATATAATATATATATATGTGGATAATAAGGGGGTTAATGTGATTTGATGGGTTTTCATTAATGGGATTTCAAACTATAGGTTCAATTCACTGCCAAATCAATGTAAAACATGTGTGTGTGTGGGGTTCTCCAACCTATTATCCAACCTATCATATAAAAATGAGTTTGCGGTTTACGGACTATTTTCGCAGGAACCTCGGATCTACTGGGTACCAGGGTTTCGACCCAGCCATAGAGAAGCGGAGATGAACACACGAAGCAACTTTGTTTGGCAAACCAGGTTTGGGGGATATATAACACTGATAAATGGAATATTAAGCAGCTATATATAATTTGATCATATACATACCTAGATACTCGTTTGAGGCACTTTTTGCTAAAAGTATCCTCTACCCATGCTGCGGCGTAATTTCAAACTTGGGGCATTTTTGGATTTCTGCTGCGGCGTTTTTTTTTGCTTCTAAACAAAAACTGTGCAAGAAGCTGGAGCACGTGGTTTCAGCATTTTTCAGGGCTTCACTACATCCTGGTCAGGAACTTTGACTCACTTATCTCAATGCAAACTGAAACAAGCTGGTAATATTTCGGACCAGTCCGACCGAAAGTTGTAGCTCTTGTTGTTGTTCTGGAATTAACGTGCAGTTTGGACAGCCACGTTTTTTTTCGAAATTCCCCGGCCAGGTCAATCAAATAATGACGTGTTGCGTAATTGCGGCGTATTTTGGCGCAGCAATGGCGGCGTAATTTGGCGTAATTGCGGCGTAATTTTGCGTATTTGCGGCGTAATTTGGCATAACTGCCTCAAAGTTGTTGCAACATGGCTCAATGACTCCATTGTGTTTGTGGGGGCATTTTTGGTTGGTTATGTAAGTCACGATGTTTGTCGATTAAATCCCACTTGTTGTGGATGGAACTTCCCATGATCAGGTGAAGAGGTGACCAGAGAAGTCACCCACAGCAGCAGCATTGAGGAGGCATCCGTGGTGATGTACAAATGGCGATTCTTCAGGAGTTTTGGATAATCGGATAATCTAATGGGATTCATGTGGATTTAGCCAACAGCACATGGGGATAAAATGATATATGATATAATAGGGATTTCATGAGAATATCAAGATGATCGGGATTCATAAGCAACTTGATGATACCACTACAATGGGATAATGGGATTTAAGCAACTAATATAGGGATATGAAGGGGATGACTATATAACCATGCTTGAGATTCTTGGGTTTGTCTGAAACTAGGGTATATCCCCAAATAGCTTTTTCAATACAGGAAACATGAAATTGAAAGATATACACAATGTTCAGACAAATCCACATGCTTTAAGCTGCTTACCCTGCAAATGTCAGGATCTAAAGATCGCCAGATATGAGAATTGTTCCGGTGTTCCGGTTTTGTATTTGTCTCACGGCATGTTTTTTTTCAAACACCATCTTACTTGTGCTTAGTAGGGAATGAGGGAATGATCCACAATAACTATCAATAATCATCCCATTTCCCCATTCCTATCCATTCCCTACTAAGCACCAGTAAGCCATTCTTCACCCAACGAGTGCAGTTGGGTTTAAGGAAGAAAACAGACACTGATTCAACCGGGGAGAGGAACCTGGTGAGCCGGCCATGTTTGTGATGATTTTCATCGGTTGGGGATGAGCCACAAGCTGAGCACCTGTAAAAACATGCCAACCATGTCAGAAAATTGTTGGGTTGAGAGTTTCCAGCAGAATTCAATTGTTTTTGATGACTTTCCATTGTTTACCATCGCAGTACAGTCAATACACCACTCTCAAATAGTTTTTTTTCAAAAACATATCGCCACTATTAGACTATTCACCACTCTTAGTCACAACTCCAACAGAATTCAACATGTTTTCATATGGCTATGGATCAATACCTATATAGATACATTTTTAGTGGGTTATTCAGTTATTCACAATAAATCCCAGCTATGACTTGGGGTTCACGGCACGGTACCAGGGTTTTGACCCATCCCCATATTTTTTCCCAACAAAGCCAGACAGGGTACCACCTGCTAGGTGCCATCCACGCCCTCTGAGACGCCGGTGCAGTCTGGGCTCCTGGCGGGTCAAGGTGGACACCAGAAATCGAGAAGAGACACCAACTGGAGGTGCTAACACCGTGTCCTGCGGCCTGTGCGTTTTTTTTTGGGATTTTGTAGATGTTTGTGTTTATATAATTATTATGTATATATAATATATACATATGGTGTGGGGTAGGGTGGGGGGGGGTGGGGGGGCAATAACGTTCATAAGACCACGCTCTTGATGCCACGTTGATAACATGTTGAAGTGACGCCGCCGCCAGGCCACATGGCACGGCCACAGGCCATGGGGATATGGATATCTACATCCACTGTATCTACCCAGCTAAAGATGTTGTTTTCATGTGGGTATCCCCATTTATGGAAACCCCCAGTTATAGCCTCATTTCTGGTGGCTCAGGAGAAAAAAACACAGGGATCGAGCCTTTGTTCTAGAGGGGATTCAACACACAGAACAGTGGATTTTAGCAGACAATGGGACCATTTGAGTGTCGAAACATTCTTTTTTGGCCAGAGAACGATGTTGATGCAAGATGATGCAAGATGATGCAAGCAATACTAAACAACTAAACATCCACTGCCCCTGATGATCCCCAAATGAGTGGCTGCTAGACAAAGCCCGGGTGGTTGATGATTCAGTCATTTAACATGGTGTTCAACAATCAACATATGGGGATATAAGTCGATATAAAGACAATTTATGTATATATATAATACATATTTGGGTATACTATACCGCCCTTACTGCGACCTCACTGGAATCATGGTTAAAAAGGGAAATCATCCCCAAATGGCCTTAATTCAGGTTATATAGTGAAATATTATAATTTACCCAGACACACATATATATATATACCCTGTCATTATATATATAACTATTGAATGATGTTTGGTTAATCACAGTAGTTAATTATGATTTATGATGTTTATGACCACATACCCTGGTTATCATGTTTTAAATGGTGTTATAAATGAAAAAAACAACAAATCATATGTATCCTGAATATTGGTGCTGAGTATTTAATTGAGACAACCCGCAGATGAATTGGGGAAGATCACAATCCCCCATCCAAAATATCCAACACATCCAAGGCCCCCGCAGATGGAGGTTGCTAGCCGGAAGCTCAGCAGGTTTGAAAGGGCTAGGGTTGAAAAATCGCACCATGGGCTGGGAACTTCCCTATGAAACATGGGAACATCATATAACACTTGGAGGTTTGTAGTTGGAAGACCGTCGAACTCAGGATTTCATTCCATTTGGTGGAGTTGAGGATGCCAATTTTGGATGTAATGAAAGTTTTGGCCCCTTGTCATTTGCAAAATCAGTACACCAATGGTTGAAAGCAGCACAATTTCCTGGTGCCTTCTTAGTTGTTGGACCGTGGTGTACGACAGGTGCTTGGCAAAATATTTTTCTGATAAGAAAGTCTTAGAGACAAGTCTACCCTCTGGTAAACTAACATAGCTATGGAAAATCACCATTTTCAATGGGTAAATCCACTATAAATGGTCATTTTCATTAGCTATTTTGATATTATCAGAGGGTATTTTTTTTACTTCTTGGGAATGCGGTTCAATACAGCACAGAAGGACGACACCAATTCTGAATGGAGTCAGGACTCAGCATGCTGGGCGTTCGGGTTCAAGGAAGGTAGGGTACTAAGTTACTAAGCTGTATGACATATTGAAATCCATTACTGGTCGATCTGGGAAAGTGGACTTATCCATGATATCCATGGATGATTGACCCATATTGACCCATTGGGGATTCTCAATTCCCTTTGCGGTCATGGCTTGCGATACATCAGCAAGAAACATCAAGGACGGATAGCCGCATGGTCATCAAAGTTGACATGGATCCCGAGTTTTAGAAATTCTATGAGTTCCAACCCCTAAATTGCTGCACTGTGCTTGTTATTTCCACATCTACCCTTTGGTAATCAAATATGGCTGGCTGGGAAATTGTCTATTGTATAAAAAGGAGGATTTAAGAAGAAAATCAGGTGACCTAGGTGTATTTATATATATATATATATATTTATATTTATATATAATATGTATATATATATATATATATATTTATGAGCCCAACAACACAGAGAATATAGGGTTTGACAAAAAAAAACCAGAGCAAACAAAAAAAACAAACTAGAAAACCAAAACCAAGGAAAAAACAAGAAAAAACAACAAAAACTGCGGAAAATGCAGGTTTTGATTTGTTTTTGTTTTTTTTCTATTTTTTTTGTTTCTTCTGGTGATGTTTCCTGTCGATTTATTTTTTTGGTGATTCTGTTTTTGTTTTTATTTTTGTTTTTTTTGTTTTTTTTGCTAAAATCCACTTTCTCTGTTCTACACGGGGTCATAAATATATATATATATATAGATGGGCGGGGAAAACACATATCATATATGTGAAAAAAACCTTCAGCTTTTGATTTTGGTTTCGCTGAGTTGCTCCGTCTTTGATTTCTTGCACCGCCCGCTTCAAATGCTTCTAGCGGGCAATTGCAGAAGCCCCGCTTGAGCATGGCAGCTTAGTCTAGTGGATCTGGGGAACAAATTTGGTTGCTGATCCGCGGAGAATGGAAGGTCAGCAAGGACTGAGAATTCCTTTGATTTGAAAAGTTGTAGAAAGTTCCTGTTATTGACATTTCGGGACCTCCAATCATGGGGTATTTCCTTCCCATTGTCACTTTCCATGTCACTTCCGCATACTTACACAAGACGTGTACGAAGAGCAACATTTGTCCAGTTGAGCAGGAGAGGAGAGTCCCAACAAATATATCTTGGAGGTGCAGCCACAACCAACATTTCGATTCTCATTTCCTCATGTTTTTTGGTAGGTTCAGCTCAACAACCCACAGATCACCAGGCAGTTCCCTCATTCTTCGCCATGGAAGCGGCTCCCGGCTCCGAGCCATGCGCCGAGCCCTGCGCCGAGCCATGTGCCGCCGAAGGGACGGTACCGGCGCGTCCACGGAGGGTTGCGCGGATGTGCAGTTGGAGATGTTACACGAGTAGTTTGGGGTTGGTTTATACCCTCTGGTAAACATACAAAAAACTATGGAAAATCACCATTTTGAATAGGTAAATCCACTATAAATGACCTTACCAGAGGGTAAGTGGCTTAACAATGGTTTATGGTAGATATATATAACTATAGTTAATCAGGTTTGGCAGTTTGATATACTGATTGGTGGTTTGGAACATGAATGTTATTTTCCCCAATAGCTGGGATGATGATCCAATCTGACGAACTCATATTTTTCAGAGGGGTTGAAACCACCAACCAGATAGAGATTTTGAAAGAACATGCACAATGGATATCATGGACCAACATATGTGACCTGAAGATGGGAGATGAACGGAGCTTCGTTCAAACCTGCCGAGGCTTGTTGCGAGGGCTGTCAAAGGCCTGCCAAGCTGTGTCTTTGCCACTTGGTCTTGGTTTTACACAGTTTCACCCACAAGAACATTGGATTTGTTTCATATATAATTGTATCATCATGGCGATCAGAGCGAGAAAATGCGGGATATGTTTCATATGTTCATGGAGCTTTGATTGGTATGTTCCACTCTCAGAAAGTGAGCAGAGATCGATGATGATCGTGTGATTTCGCCCTTCAAGGTGACGTGCTGCCACCAGAGCCTGTGCAGACGCGCACCCGTGTGGTGATTTTGGTGCATCCCAAGGCGCGTTCCGATAGATGCGGGTACCCCCAAATCATCCAATTCACTACGCAATGTTTGAAACCCATGTTTTTGGGGATCCCACATTTTAAGAAACCTTCATATGTTTAGATGTGCTATATTCTAATCAGCATGTCAACATCATTTCATAGGTTGAAGACACATAATACAGATGCGCAGAAAATAGAATCCACAACAATATTATAATATTGCGACCTTTCATCACCGCATGTCGACATCCGGTGGCACAGCTTGCAGCTTCCGACCAGGAAGTTCGTCGAAAACTGGGCACCCTGCCGCTGCTGAGGCGAAGGGAAACAGTTGATGTTGGCATGACTTGCTCCACGAACCTACACGACTGCAAACCGCTGGGTTTTCGCTTCTCCCATTTCCCTTACTGGTGCTTAGCAGGGAATGAGGGAATGATCCTTATAATAACTATCAATAATCATCCCATTCCCCCATTCCTATATCCATTCCCTACTAAGCACCAGTAAGTTCCGATTCGTGAGGCTTTGTTTGCAAGACATCATCATCAAAGAAGGCGGGACGCTGGAAAACCATCCAGATGGCGTCATGATGGTCGTGTAAGACTTTTTGGTAGCCATAAATGGTAATATGTATGAACCGATAAATTGTGTTTGCAAGGTAAAATTGAAGTACTATCTGGGTGTCAAGCACCTTTCTGCACTGCTGCACAGATATGCATCCATTTCTGGTGCTAAAATGTTGATAAAACCATAGAAGAATTGCAGTAATTTTATTCGGGTGTTTATGATATGAATTATCAGACTACACGTGTGAAGCAAATTCCCATTGGTACTACTCAAACAGTACCACAAATCCATTTAGGAAGAAGATTCTAGTAATCGTTTGAAACATACCATGAGGGCTTAAGGTGTCTTTGGGTTTGTCTGCATTTTTCGGACAACCCCCAATTCCAAGGGACTGTCATCATTTTCTCCACTTCAAAGGCGGTAAATTTCGAGGATTTTCACCATTGGGGATGCACCATGTTCAGTATCCACATTGTGCTGGCATGGATGAATTGCCAGAGGCTCCCCAAAAAAGGTATATTCCCATGACATAAAAAATCCGATTTTATAATCCCATCTGGTTGGTGGTTTGGAACATGACCTTTATGACTTTCCATATATTGGGAATGTCATCATCCCAACTGACGAACTCCATCATTTTTCAGAGGGGTAGGTCAACCACCAACCAGTTATAATCCCATTAATTCACCCAATGAAATCTCATTACCATCTGGTAAACCAACATAACTGGGAAAATCACCGTTTTTAATGGGACAATTCACTATTTCTATGGCCATGTTCAATAGCAAACTGGTAGTTTACCAGAGGGTAATTCACCCAATGATCATCATAATATCTATAGATATCTAACTATGAATCTAGTATAGATGATAATTACATAGTAATTCACCCAATGATTTTGTTGGTTAAACCACCATTAAACCACCATTTTTTACCATCATTTTCCTATGGTTTTCCTATGGTTTTCCTGTTTTCCTATGGTTTTCCTATGGTTTTCCTATGGTTTTCCTATGGTTTTCCTATGGTTTTCCTATGGTTTTCCATGATAAAACCCACGAAATCCCCTGAGTTCACTCGGTCGTTGCTGTAGGCGATCGCTTCCCGGAGCCCGAGGAGGACCCGGAGCTGCATCGCCTCATCGCGGACGGTGTCCATCAGTGGGGCAGCCGAAGGGCCAAAGGGGGCCGAAACCATGGGGAGATCAATGGAAAAATGGGATGTGTATAGGAAATTCATGGGAAATCATGGGACATTCATAGGGATTTCATGGGAAATTCATGGGGATTTAATGGGACATTAATGGGATTTAATGGGACATTCATGGGAAATTCATTGGAAATTCATTGGAAATTATAGGGATTTAATGGGACATTATAGAAATTATATGGATATATAGTGTATATAATATATGTACATAACATACCCTCTGGTAAATGTTTACATAGCTATTGAAAAATGGCCATATAAATAGTGTATTTTCCCATTGAACATGGTGATTTTCCATAGTTATGTTAGTTTACCAGAGGGTATAGTATGATATAGTATGCCAATGAGATATGTGTAAATTTGATACATTTGATAGAACCACCAATAATTGGAACATATCCATAGTATGAAACAATGAGATATGAAACAATGAGATACATCTCAGATATATGAAACATATGGGACAATTACTCGATTACCATAAATACAATATCTAGGGGATATGTTATATATGTTCTATATCATATGGATTCATATGGGATATATCGTGGGATATCAATCCCGATGTTATGTCGATTATATTTCATTGTCTGGAGATATGATGATTACATAGTATTATTTGGGGATAGAATGATGCTTAACAATTTAAATTTCATGTTATCCCCAGATGTTAATAATTGAAATGATATGTTTGTCACCAAAATGATAATGAACATATTACATATAGTATTATAATTCCCATATTTCACTTGATAAACATTGGGATACATGGGAATGTTATTTTGATACTTTAATTTTGTTGATCATTATTGTAACCAATAGATCAATAGGAATACTTGAGGGGATACGGGGATATCATAAGGGCTTAGTGGGATGTGTTCTGCTTGATTTTTCTTGTAATCTACATGTATATCCATAAAATTTTCATTTAAGTCATTTATGAGTTGCATGATGTTGCATGAGTGGCTGGTCACATCACGTTGACGCTGTGAGAGCCAAGCGTTTCCCAGAAGAACCGATGGAGATGGTCAGTTGGTACTTCCACAAAGTTGGGCAGAAGATGCATTTTGTGAAGACTCCGTCTACCATCAACAAAAGAAACTTCATCGACAGGCATAGAAGGGCTCGAGAAGATAGAGACTTGATCTCTATAAAGTCCTGCAGTTCGACGTGGCTTCAACTCCGAGGCCGAAACAGATCTGTTGCAAAATCACTGCCACAAGTCATGTGCCACAAGTCCAACACCAGAGGTGAGGCATCCCAGATATAAATTGGTTGATAAAGCCATGAACTAGTTTGATATATCTGCCATACACCATATTTATATAAGCTAGTTATGATGTTATGTGTGTTGGATTATAACACCCATCAATTAGTTCGATATATATATATATATGTAGATAATATATATATAGATAACATATATATATAGATAATATATATGTATATATATATAATATATACATATATATAGATTATATATATATACCTGGTGTACCATAAACCCTGGTGTAAACCGACCTAGCTTGGTGGCACCTTCTGAGGATATAGCACTGGGGGAAACGTGGGAAACCAAGCGTTTGACAATATCTTTGGGTAAACCAAGTTTTTCATGCGGAATGCAACGTGTTTACCATGGGGATATGATGGGATATGATGGGATATGCAATTCACTTTGATTCACCAAGCAATACCACACATTTTAGCAGCGGATCTTGATACCGCTATATTTTGGTAGGATGCAAAACCAGCGACCCACAGAATTTGCGTTTTTTGGGGCAAGTTAAAGAAGGGAAACTGATGCTCTGAACGGCACCAGGAAATTTTGGGCACTATTTGTGGACAATTCCCGAGAGTAAATCCCAATGTTTGCCCGCTTGTTATCTCATTTTCTGATCATAACATGATATGAATCAAAATTTTCAGGTAAATCATATTAAATCATACTGTATTACTCCCAAGATCATATTACTCCCGCTAATCCCATCTTCTGAGAATCAAATCTCGTGGAAAAAACAAGTCTTTTGATCCAAACCCAATTGTGATTTACTCCTCGATTTATTATGTTGTTCCAGTTCACCCCATTTTAATCGCCATAGCCTCTAGTGGATCCCCCACGCGGTTCAATGATTTTTCTCATTCAAACTTCTATGTATATTCATTTAAAAAGGGATTTCGCCTTTAAAACCCATTCAATCACCATTTTTTACGGGTAAAAACCCATTCAATCACCATTTTTCATAGGCAAAAACCCATTAAACCACCATGAAACCACCATTTTCCTATGGTTTTCCTATGGTTTCCTATGGTTTTCCTATGGTTTTCCATCATTAAACCATGATAAACCACCATTTTTCACAGGTAAATCCTCCATCTGATCTCCCTGGGGCGATTCTCCCAGGCCCATGTTTCTGTGCCCCGGACCTGATGCAGTCGAGCTCGGGACTGAGGAGGTGAAACCTGGCCGATGTTTTTTTTCTTTCTTTTTTTTAATGGATTTATAGATAGTTGTAGATTTTTAATGATTTTTATGGATATATATATATATATATTTAATGTTGATATACTATTTTATAGATATTTATAGATTTTTAATGTTGATATACTATTTTATAGATATTTAGAGATATTTAATGTTGATTCATATTATTTTATATATATTGATAGCTGACTTATGATAGCTAAGTTGATGCTTAAATAACTGATTTGGCGAGTTGTGTTGGGCTTCATCCCTGCGAGTTGATGCCAACAATGGGATATCAATGGGTATATTGTTGCATATTATGGGTTTAAACCTGAAAGATCGGAAGAAATAAAGATCCCCTCCGGTAATTTAGCATAGTTACGGACAATTCCTGAACTAAATGGATGTTTCTAGCTGGGAAAATCATCTATAAATGGGGAATGTTCCATGGCTACATTAAATTGCCGCAGAGTAGTTAGCATAGACATGTATATATAGGCTCGTCCCCGGTCTTGGAACTACATACGATGGGGTGGGGGGATGGGGTGGGATGTTAACGTTCATGTGAACTTGCAGAAGCAGTTGATGCTACGCACACGCGGGGTGGGGTGGGGGGGGATGGGGTGGGATGTTAACGTTCATGTGAACTTGCAGAAGCAGTTGATTGGGAGAGGTCCCAAAGCTGTGCGAGACTTGCAGCTCCCGTGACGAGACAAAAACCAGAACTGGTCTCACATGTTTCTGGGAGAGGTCTTCAAACACCGTGTTCATGTTCATACTAATGCTGATGATGATGATGTCATGATGATGATGATGATGATGATGATGATGACCCTAATGAAACTTGTCAATTCCGGGACAAAATTTCGTCCCGGAATTGACAAGTTTTACCAACCTAATTCGGGTTGTGCGCAGTTCCAAGACCGGGGACGAGGCTATATATACATATGATTTTATGAATATATACGGAATGTACAACTTACAAAATCATATAATCCCTTTGACTGATTACACACAACAGATTGGTGACGTGTTGGGATGACAACGGTAGCTGGTCGCCTATGACCTTGGCCGATGGTCAAGTCATTCGCAACAGAAGTAGGTTCCTGCAAAAGTGACCAAAAGATGTGGAAAAGTCACAATAAACGTATTGAAAAAGGTACAGTGTAGGTCATAGACACTGTGATAATAAAACAACATATTCCACTGTGACACCCACATGTCCACACCAGAAGGCAGGGTCCATAAAGGTACTATAAGACTATAAAGATCATTTTCTCCGAGAAACCCATATTTTTTTTTCAGAACCAGCCCTCCAAAGGTGACCATATGGACGGCTCGTCGACTCGCCGTAGCTGGCCCCCCGAATCGATCTGAACCCTGGAATCATGGTTCGGTCAGTAAGGGAAATCATCCCCAAGTGGCCTTATGTCAGGTTAGTGAATTATTACAATTTACCCAGATGTTCAAACATGAACGAATGAGCCCTTGTTGGTGGTTGTTGGTAGTTGAGGTTCGTAAAAAGAAAAATCGCCTCCGGCAAACTAGCATGTGAAGAAGATCCACTATTTTTCTATATATACATCACTTTTTTGGGGGAAAGAAAAACACATGATTTTCCTTTTTTTTTTTGTGTATGTTTACAGGGGTTGGTAACTGTCCCATTTTGGGAATATTGAACATCACCTTATAGTAGCCATTATAGACCATATACCTAATGGTTGGGTGATGTTCAATGGGGACATTTAATGACCCATGGTTTACCCCAAAAGGGGCATCACTTTTCGCGCTGCCAGGGGCTGCATCCCCGACCTCCGGGCGACACGCCCGCCGCGCCGGCGTCACTGATCTTTATCGATGGGACGTGGCGGCAGGTGGGGCTGCGGATCCATGGTGCTGTCTGGTCATTTCCCGGTTGCCCCATGAAATCCCCACCGGTTACCTTCTGGTAATGACTAACAGTGACTAACAGTTTAACCAACAAAATGGTGGTTTAATGGTGGTTTAACCAACAAAATGGTGGTTTTAATTATGATTTAACAGTTTGCGAACTGGAAAATGGCCCAGTCGAAATAGTGGATTTACCCATTGATAGCATCGTGGATCTTTCCATAGTTATAGGAGTAGCCCAAGTCACCTAAGATTTTGCACACTCCCAGGTTAGTTCTGGTTTTGGGGATGAAACCAAATATGTGGGACCAATTAGAGGGGTGTTAAATATTAGGGGGAAGGATTCATAGTATATATTGTAGTACAAACCATAATACCACAGATGTAACCAACAATAATACAACAATAGATCCAACTGTATAATCAATACACATGGTATGATGTATGCCATGTCGTAATCCATCTCTCCATTCCTTGCCTTTTCTTTAGTCGGATAGTCGTCAGCCATGTTCAGACCAGACGATCATTATTCCAATCATTTCCACTAGAAACTGACTGGCAAGCCATTGCACCAAGTGTTTGTCCATTCATATTCCCATTCTTGATGGTGTTGTTGTTGCCGCTGAACTTCCATGTTTGCCTCCAAGTCCCCAATATAAGACGATGAAATATTCGTATATTATATCAATACAAGTTTTTCAATTGATACTGTATGTCTCATGAAATATCCCTATAGTATATCCCCATAGAATATCCAATGGTTCATGTATCCCCCTCATATATACCTCCTCCATGTATTCCCGACCCACTGGATGGGTAGAAACTCATCCTTGAGGGGCTTTGTTGCTAGAAATGGAAAGTTGAACTATCACCAGCAAACGATGATTTTTGTTGTGGACTATGGAAGATTGAGAAATATTGATCATGCGATTCCCATCCATAAAAATGATGATTTGCCTTGGCTAGGTCTGTTTTTTGCGATGAATTCGTGGCGATCTCACAAAGATTTTTCCCACAGGCCAAGTCCATGGTGGCGCGCTCGCCTTGGCTGCTGCAAAATGTGCCCAGGGCAGTCATCAGGCGTTCCATATGGAACTGGGTGGTTTCCTGACCCTTTTAAAGGAATTTTCCATTATAAACCAACCATTAGGGATACCCCCTATGTTCTTAGATGTTATTTGTTGTAGTTTCAATAATATAGTTTCTACAGTAGATTGTTTATTTTTATTTTTTCTTTTCTTTGTTTATAGTTTCTACATGGTTTAATTCCTTTGTTGTTTATTCTTCTTTTGATTTAAATGTTTGTTTTCTCAAGTTAGGGATTCTACCCTCTGGTAAACTAACGTAACTATGGGAAAATCATCATTTTTGATGGGCAAATTCACTATTTCTATGGCCATGTTCAATAGCAAACTGTTAGGTTACCAGAGGGTAATTCACCCAATGATCATAATAAAATCTATAGATATCTAACTATGAATCTAGTATAGATGATAATTACATAGTAATTCACCCAATGACGTTGGTTAAACCCCATTAAACCACCATTTTTTATCATCATTTTCCTATGGTTTTCCTATGGTGTTCCTATGGTTTTCCTATGGTTTTACCAGAGGGTAACCCCCAACTGATCAATTACCAGTGCCGTGGATCCAGACCCTCCAGGCCCTCAACGAACAGCGGCTATCGCTTCCGCAAGCAACCGGCGGCTAGGGCGGTTACGGCTGGTTGGGGCGGTCTGGGGAAATCTGGGATGGGGAGGGCTGGAATCTTTTGGCCCAAATAGATCCAAATAGATTATAGATAGATAGATAGATAGATAGATAATTAATGCCAAGTCAGGATTAATAACCCCCCCCCCAGAAGGTCGGAACTCTACCTTGTAGGTCATTTTCTTAAACACCCCTCAATAAGAAGCAACTCTGAACCATAAAACTTTGGATATGGCTTACGTCAATTAGATCTTAATTAGATCAATAGAATTCCATTGGATTTGTTAAAATCTCATGGATCAGAAAGGTGGTTGATTAATCAGGAGTAAACCCTGGTTATTATTAATGGGGGACATGGGCTCATGGGGGGTACCCTTTGGGAGCTATCCAAACTGATGATTTTTATAAAGATTTTAATTAAAAATCGATCATTTGGGGAATAGTTAATTTTTGAAATATTCAATGATCAACTTAAACCTTAAGTATAACAATGATGATAAAAAAAATGTAAAACATAAATGGAAATAAATAGAATTGGAAATAAAAATTGTTGGATAAAAAATGGATTTCAGCACTGGAGGTTTTTTAATCGGGGGTGTTTATTAATACTGGGGGACCACCTGTTTTTTAATTGCATTTTTTTGGGGGGGAGGAGGAGGTTGATTAATAACGGGCTGTTGATTAATCCTGACTTGACATTAGATAGCTAGCTAGCTAGCTAGCTAGGTAGGTAGGTAGGTAGATATATAGATAGATACTTAGTTATATATATACACATACTATCCAGCTCAAAAGCATCTAAAGGGCTTTTTAAGATTGGCCATTCGATCGTTTGCCATTAAATGTTGCTGGCAATCTATTGACGTAAGCATAAATGGGAAAACATATTGACCTAATCAGTTGAAACAAGTAGTTTGTTGCAGGGTAGTTACAATTGGCCATGAAAAATCTCCCAACTTTAACCAGTCAGTGTGATCCCTTCTCTATTTGTTCAATACTCCGAGAAGAATGGGATTGCGTTTTTAAATCACACACTTGTATATTCCCTTTGGTCATCAAATATGGCAATGGACTGGCTCCACTATAAATGAAGGATTGAGTGGGAAAATCATATATATATATATATCATAGTTAAGTTATATCCAATTAACATCAATTAACTATACTTATATGATGGAAAAACCCATTGCAATGTTTAATTACCAGAGCAATGTAGACTGGCTAAACATCGGTGTCGATGTTCACCGCTATGAATGATCCAGGTCATTGGAGGTATTTCGGAGGCCGATAGTATAACTCATGTTGTTTGATCTCCATAAAAGCAGGTTGGTGGTTTGGAACATGGCTGGATTATGACTTTCCATTCAGTTGGGAATGTCATCATCCCAACTCATATTTTGAGGGGTTGACACCACCAACCAGTGAATGATCCACATGAATTTCAATTTCACTTGGTTGACTGTGCAAATAAACGCCAGTAGCCCAACTATGGAAGGCCCCACAAATCCAGTGATGGGTCAACAGTGGGACTTTGGGTTGCGTCAGATTTTATCCACTAGTCTTTGGAGATTGAACATCAGAACATCAACTATGGATACATATGGCAAAATATGATAAAAGATGAGCTTTCTATATGGACATTGAAGATTCCCTTTCTATCAAATATGGATAAATTGACTGTTGCGAATTCTATGGCCATTTTTACATTTGTTCCTCCCTGTACCAAGGAACAGGGTTGCCTGTCCACTTTGGAAGCCGTGGCCGAGGCGGGTAACCGTTGCGGTACCACCCGGGTAGAGTGAACTGACCCATAACCAGCAATAGTTGATTTGTTTATATTTGTTTGATGAAAAAAAACATGGAACAGCATAGGAATTCAGAGATAAAACAGAGAATTACCTTCATGATGATCATTTGATGCTGAACAAAAACTATGATTAAAACATATGTTTTAGGAGAAGAAAACGACATGATCAACCAAAAGCCAGAAAAAATACCATGTTTGATGGGAATGTCAGCATGTGTTTGTGTCTTTACGCTACTACTATTCCATGAATAGGTATCAATGGGGGATGATCAAAGCAAACACCTTGTTGGTGGTTGCATAAGTTTGAATCTCGATCCTGCGAACACGATAGCCATAAACCAGGTGTGTAAAGCCAATAAGCATATGAGTAAAATGTAGTAAAACCACACCTACATAGTGATACGATCAACCAAAACCGCTAAAGTCGCTAAAGATTGTCGTAAGTGTCCATGATGTCCACGCTTCAGGGTTGGCTCAAAGTTATGTACCCGTCAAATTCCACTGAAAATGGATGATCAAGTACACAACATGATATGAACATGACACATGGGTTTGTCTGAAAATACTGTACCGAAAAATGTTGATGGTTGGCTGTCATTGTCCTTATTAGAATTGTTTTTGTTTTGCTTTTACCAAATGTCCAGTCAGAGCCAATACTCATGTGATCGCTGATACACTAATATCATCTAATATCCCATGAATTATCCAATAAGATATATTGATACCCATTTTCTTGGGAATTATAATAACGATTAGGAATTACACCATTCATATCCCTACTACATCCACATGACATACCATTTTCTGAGTTCATGATCATTGGTGGGTTTATGGTCTACAATATCTTTAGATATAACCATGATATATCATTAAATATCATTAACGAATATAATATTATATAATTAAATTTATATTTCACATACAACTCTATATAGTATAGATCTAATATATTTAGTGGATTTTAGTGATATTTAATGAATTTTAATGATATCTCCTACTAAAAATGGCACTTATATGATTTATATATATATATCAATCATAGTTATCTATCAAGAAGTTCTGTCCGAGTTGATATCCCATTGGGATATCCGCCATGCCATGTCCGAGGCGTTGCTGGCCTTGGAAGGAGATCGTGGCCCGAAGCTGAAGGAACTCTTGCTGCAGCCGTTCGGACGCAGCTTGGCAGCGGGATTTTCCCGCCAAACATTGGGGATTTCACCAACAAAAATGGGGATTAATGGTGGTTTAATGGTGGTTTAATGGGGTTTAACCAACAAAATGGTGGTTTTAATGGGATTTACACTCTGGTTATGACTAACATAGCCATGGAAAATGATGGCCCTAATCAAAATAGATGATTTTCCCAGCGACATCAACCTCCATTTATTTATAAGGGATTTTCCATGGCAAACTGTTAGTCATAACCAGATGGTAACTAGCAAAAGTTTGGTGAATTCACCAAAAAGTTGGCTAGCTTGGTTTTTTGTTGGGTGGTGGTTCCAACCATTGGTGAAAATTGGATTCAGCAAGAAGCATGATATATATATATATACTGTATATACACACAGTCACATAGCTGCATAACATGACAACATATCCATACATATATGTATATATAATATTTATATATATATACATCTTTGATAGATTGTAATAAGGGATAGATCATATATCATTCAAAATGTGGGTTCCTGATAAATTCTGGAATATACCGCAACGTTATTGGGATACAAAGTTGACCAGGTTCTAGGAATTTTCACTTATATGTCAATTGAATATTGATGAAGTACTACTGGGATATAACATCAATAATACGGACATATTGTTTTACCCAGCCAAAGAATTGGGAGAGTTGAAATGATTTACAGTAAAACCAACAGACATGGGGATTGGTAAACAAAAACAACTGTGGGTTTACGGGATTCATGGCCATATTTATGAAGAGCCTGGCAGGGCGTTCCCCCATGGCTGTTGGAAGCTGTTGGTTGCTTGGCCCGTGGATTCCAACGGGTTCATCCAAGTGGCTGCGTTTTTTTTGATGCATACTATGGATGGTGCCCTCCAGTTATGTGAATGTTGGATAATGTTGGTTTATAACCCCCACTGACTAGTTCGTTATATCATGTTATATCTAGCATAAACCATAGATTTCAGCCACTTCGAAAGCAACTAAGTTCGCTGTTTGTTTTTTCGCCATCCTGTATGGTGCCTATGTCCAGGCCCCAGGAGCCCAGGTTTTTCCACAGACCGAGGAATGGTGGAGCTACAGATGGCCTTCATCGGAGACCAGGATGAGAACATCCCTGAAGAGCAGACCACCACCAAGTTCGACCGTGAGGTGGACACGACACAGAAAAAGGACGGTAGACATTTTGTGGAAAGCAGCAGTCTGTGAAAATTTGGAACGGATCCTGGATATAACCATCTTACTAGAATGTTGGTGTCATGTCTTGAACATGGGGATTTAAAAATTAACATGATTTAAGGAATGAGAAGTGAAACTTGAAGCCACATCAAAAAGAGAAGGACCTGATCCCTGCAGTCTTGGTCAATGCAAAGGTATGCAACTGGATCTATCAACAATACAACAAAAAAACATGTCATCCGTGAAAGCTGTAAGAAAACCATGAAACACCTATACACATCCAATGATGTTTTTGACCTGTAAATATGTCGCACGTGTACGACTCTCAGCATTTGGGTATGGGTATGGGTCAAATTTGGCATCCCATGCACAGCCCACGGCACTCCACATGCACACTTTGTCAGATGTTTGGTTATTTTCGGGCGACCCAAAGTTTGACTTGTCCTACAATGTGAGGCCCCCGTTCGATAGCTAACTTGGTGCAAATAACTCCAATTTCACTATGGTTTATGGTACGCAAATAACGAACTAGTTACTGGGGCGAATCTAAACCAACTAACATCACTGGGGGGCTTCACATTTTACCAATTTGTACCTAATCTCAGCATCGTGGATCTGGACAAGGAGGATCTGGATTAAAACCCAGTGGCCCAGTGATGGTTTCTTTTGGGCACATGGGAAAGCATCAATGGAATCACTTTAAAATCAGTGGGAATTGTTCCTTAAATAATTGAAATAATTACTGTTACTAAAGTGTACTAATTAGTCAAAGTGTCAACTTACGCTATGGTTACGATCTTAGAGTCGTCATTTTCTTAAAATACACAATCATACAAAATACCCTCGTGTAAATTCAAGTAGATAAGGAAAATCAAGAGTTTTCCAAGGAAAGGATCTAGAAATATATAATCTATAAGTAGTGGAGTTTCCATACTAATTTACTGTAGTTATAAGTAAGTTAGAATCCCATAAAAAAGAAAAAGAACAACACTTTTATACATGTAACCATTAAAAACTGTTTTTGTTAGGGCTTTAACTGTAGGGCCACTGGGCCACTTTTGTGGGTCAAATTCTTCGCCCCAGGCAGCGCTTTTGGATTTGCAGCAAACAATGGAGGCCGCGCCGGCGACCTGGGCAAGTTCGTGAACGCTAAGTTGGTGCGTTGAAAAAACTTCGATATAACTATGGTGTATGGTAGATATTAATCTATACTTATATGATCTTATATGGTTTGTTTTGGATGAATCATCTAAATTTGGGTAGCCAAGTTTGGCATGCGATTAACCTAGTTTTGCCAGTTTCATCTAAGATATGTTGACTTATAACCAGATATATCCATATGGTTAACCTAGTTTTGCCATTGATTGGTATGAACGGAAGCATCCATCGAGCCAAACCGGTAGCTCACCGCCCAGGCAGAGGATGGCTCAGCGGAGCCCAAAGAGATCTTCTGCCGCTGAACGGAGATGGTTGGATCGGTGCATTGCGGTTGAGGGAATGGGGACCATGGCCTGATATCTTCACTGGATCGCACTGGGAATATCTTATACTGGTTGGTGGTGTGCAACATGTTTTATTGTTCCATATAATCATCCCAACTGACTATTTTTTTTTCAGAGGGGTTGAAACCACCAACCAGTTATTATATCTTTGGAGAATACTTAAAACTAATAGGAAGTAAAGTCCTAGCTTTGGGGGGTCAGCCCACTTAGTCACTGGGTACGAACCCTCGTGAGTAATTCCCCGATTCGTGGTTTATCCCATACATAAGTGGCTTACAATTATGGTTACTATAACCAGCCATAAATCCCATGAAGTGAGATTGTTTCCTGGTTAAATCGCCATTTTTTTGTGGGTTGATTCCCCAACTTTCCATCTACAACCTCCATTTCGAAGGGATTTTCCATTGAAGAAAACCCAGGTAAATCAAGTACTTTTTTCTGACGTCTTTGGATGATTTGGGATGTTTTTTTACCTTCTTAGGATCTGTTTAAGGATCATCATCTATTGGGTAAATCATCTATAAATCATCCATAAATGGGCTACCCTCTGGTAATTTAACATAGCTATTGAAAATGACCATTTATAGTGGATTTTCCCATTGAAAATGGTGATTTTCAATAGCTATGTTAGTTTACCAGAGGCTAACCACTTCCAACCTCTCCCCAACCCGGTTGGTGACGTTTTCGTCGAGGCATCCTGCGCTGGGGCCAGCGCGCGGTGCCCGAAAGGCCCGTCATCGTCGTGGAGCTCTTCGCCGGCAGCGGCGAGGCGGCGAAGCTGCGGGCGCAGGACGACGGTTTTCGCGACGGCGCCGTGGTGAAGCCAATGGGATTTCACAAATAATAGGATTGTTATGGAAAATTATGGGAATTAATAGGGAATATTATGGGTAATTGGTGAAATTATGGGAAATTATAGGGAAATTATAGGAATTGGTGAAATTATGGGAAAATATCGGGAAATTGATAGGATTTATTATTGGTAAACTAACAGTTTGTTATAGAACATGGCCATAGAAATAGTTGATTTACCCATTAATAGCATGGTGATTTTCCATAGTTATGCTAGTTTACCAGAGGGTAATCATCAACATAGGGAATGAATGGGAAATTATAGGGATTTATAGGGATGGAATAGGTTACATTTATAGATGATTTACCCTCTGGTAGACGAATATAGCTATGGAAAATCAGCATCTTTAAGAGGTAAATCGACTATTTCAACTATTTCTATGGGCCATTTTCAATAGCTATGTTAAATTACCAGAGGGTAGCAAATGGTTGTTTCCGAAAATGGGGGTACCCCAAACCATGGGTTTCAACATTAATGTGGCCTAAGTTTAGATGATTTGGGGCAACTCCATTTTAGGAAACCCCCAAATAGGGATTTCATAGGGAATTAATCACCAACAATCAAATAATATGATTTTCTGTTCACCAATGGGATTTAATAGGGATTCAATGGTAATTAATTGGAATTTATAGGGATTGAATAGGGATGTATAGGGATTTCAGCAACAATGGGGATGCTAATGGGAATAGATGTTAACTAGTTTGATATATATATATAAGATGTCTATACATATGCTATACATTTATATCATTTATATACCATAGTCATAGATATATCTACCAGAAACCTGAGTTAAACTACTAAGAAAAAATAGCTCTCGTTTGTGGGCACCTTGTATCGTTAAGCCTTGGTGGCTTGGTTTCACCCTGGCACCACTGGGCTGTGATTCGGATCCAGATAGAGCTCTGATCATATATCAATGGCTTTTCACTACGGCTAACCAGTTACCCTCTGGTAAACTAACATAGCTATGGAAAATCACCATTTTCAATAGCTATGTTAAATTACCAGAGGGTAACCAGTTATTATCAGAGCATCTAAGTTTTATATTCCTATATAGGGCCCAAAGGGATCCAGTTGTACCTTCTTAGGAAGTACGACTGGGGTGTCTTTTTTTGCTTCTCAGACAGTGGCCATGGATCCATATGGCATAATTAAATATTCCCAAAAATATCAATATCCAATTAGTATTCAGTATTTCAAGTGTTTCTATTCAATGATTAATCACCATTCCATCACATGAAACATTCCCGATTCCCCATTGGATTACCCCAAAAAAGGGATGATGGCAATCCTCTAGACTAATCTCTATACCATATAGATGGACATGCTCTGTGATCTAAAGAACATCATAAAAGGATTCCACTTACCCTTTGGTAATTGAACATATGGAAAATGGCAATCTAACTGGCTGTGATTTGCCCATGAAAAACAATTGTGATTTTCCATATCTATATTCGTCTACCAGAGGGCATTTCATATCCGATATTACAAGTCAGTTACAGTATAACCCCATACAAAATGGAAATGATAATCCCATTTACAAGCATGTCTAACTGATAACTAAGGCTTAGATCATTCCTCTTAGATCATTCCTTTTGAAATCATGTCCAGTGATCTAGATTTCAGTGACAGCATCATCCACTTATTACATCATTTCTTAGATCATTCCACTGAATTCCACTTGGGGGATCTAGTAAGTGGCAAGACCATTCAAGGTGGTACCCAGTTATGAATGGCTTCTAATCCCATTAACTAGTTCGATATATCACCAACAAAGACCATAGTGACATCGGACTTATTTGCACCAACATAGCGTTCACGAATCCAAAGACATCACATGAAATCACCATGTTTGCTAGTTAGATCATATTCATTCGCCATAATTCACCATTGTTCCATCATTTTTCCATATGTTTTCCATCTTACTGGTGCTTAGTAGGGAATGGATGGGACTGGGGGTTGCTGGGATGATTATTACTAGAATATTGTGGATCATTCCCGAAAATTCCCTGCGTTTAGCACCAGTAAGTATTCCGATTTTTTTTTAAAAACATATTTTGCGGTGGGATCTCTATGTTCACCATAATTCACTATTATTCCACCATTGTTCCATATTTTTCCCGTATTTTTCCCATATTTTCTAGTAATAATCATGTTTCTATAGTTTCTATACGGGAATATTTTCCATATTTTTCCCATATTTTTCCCTTATTTTTCCCATAGTTTTGTTCGGAAGCACCAGTTCTTCCGGAGGAGTGCTCCGAGGGCCGCCCGCGCGGCCTCCGCTGCTGGGCGCGGCAGCTGGAGGATGTGCCGCCCGGCGCGCTCTGGGAGGCCAACGACGGCGAAGTCAACGGGAAGAGCCATGGACTTGTTGGGGATCATGTCAAAAAACTTAGGATTTATGATGAATTGATAAGTGGGTTTAGTTGGTACATAACAGGTATACATATATATATACCCTAGGATTCCAACCACCTGTGAAACAAAGGGGTTTAGTAGAACCCCCTTTGTTTGTTAGGCCCAAAATACTATTCTAGCGAGTGGTTCATTTTCTTGTGTGCTCACCCTTTTTGCTTTGGTCGAGTAAATGCCATTTTTCAGACTGGTAGAGCTGAAGTGATTCACAGGGGAGCAAAGAACAAAGATATTCTTCAAGACTCCACTTGCTCTTTCACGGGCGGATAAAGAGCAAATGTCGAAAAGTAAGAGTGAAAGCAGCAAAGACTTCAGAAAACATTCAAATATTTGATTGAACAGCAACTTGAGAGTTCTGAAAGCATGCAAACTACTAACAGGAGTACCCCCAATTCAAAAATCTGTTGCTTCCAGACACAGACATGTAGGCATCATCAATTTATTCTGTTGTGGATTTTGGATGGTGGGAATGGAATGTCAACACCCTCTAGTTGGAAGTACTGATTAGATGCAAGACTTGCACTGTATAAACAAAGCTATTAACAACAAGTTTGGACCTTGCAATGTTGCGAAACATGCCGCAACGCACTGTGCGCCAGATTGTGTCACACGCGAGCACCTTATGCAAATATGTTCTTCTACTAACAATGCAATTGCCACATCTTCTCGCTTGCTCTGTGCATGTTGCTTTGCTCGAGGTTACTGTACTGAGACAGGAGTTGAGACCTGCGACCTCTTTAGCAATGACACTGTGCTCCAAACAACAATATTTGACCTGCTGTATTTCATGTGAATGTGTCAATTCTTGGCTTCATGTGGCTCAGAACTTGCCATAAATTTGCTGTCACAAACAAACTTGGTCAAACATATCCATATATACAAGGTCAGCCAATCATGTGTGTGTGATTTGTTGAATTTGTTCTGTCTTCCCTCTCTCTCTCTCTCTTTGTGGGCCATATTTCAAACAATACTATATACTATAAACAGTGGCAAGAAGAGCAAAACAAACAAATCAGAACATCAGGCAAACAATATGCCCATTCGTCAAATGTTTCTTTGCATCCCAACACCCATTCAATTAATGAAACAATTGGCTAGTTCAGAGATGATGTGATATGTTTTGTCAGGAGACAACATCTCTCCTACTTACAATGCACGAAGCCTGATAGAGAGGGCCTACTGTAACCGTTTTTGTCACACAATTTCAGCTGGTCTAGGAGTCCAGCAGCGCTTGCATTTTGTTGATCAAAGTTCAAAGATGTTGAATGTATTCTCTGCGTACGTCTTGTTTTTTTCTTTGCTTGCCTTGCTGGTAGATGCAGCGGATTCTTTAAAAAATGGTTGAAGGCATAGAAAGTGTGCAAGCACCCATCAGGTAGATTTGGGGCCATCTTGCATTATGATATACACACATATACATGCACTTCAAAGTGGATTGAATTGTCGGTTGTGCAGACGCAGACTTCCCTCCCGAAACAAAACTATGCTATGAATATGTACGTGTACATTTGGGCTTCTATGTTTGCTCTCCTAGCTCTACTGGAATTTGTTCTTTAGGTATGGATCCAGCAATGAATTTGCCAAACTCTTACACCAGCCACATTCTTAGCATAGAAATCCAGAATTGTGAAACCGAAGTCGCAACTGCACTGACAAAAATATGCCCGTTTTGGGGTAATGGGGGTTCACGCCATTTAATGGGGGTTCACGCCAAAAAAAGGGGGTTCACGCAAGTTTCACGCAAGTTTCACGCAAGTTTCACGCTGTTGGCTTTTTAGGTGTGCACACTGTATATCTGAAGGCTTCATTGCAGTGCTGGACAACACTTGCAAGAAATTTGACAGTATCATCAATTGCTGCTTTGGATGTTTTTTTTTGGTATAGCAATTGAATACTGGCCTATTTTTGCTACCCTACTGACACATACCGTTTCTTTCTTCCATTATCCTTGCCGATTAAACATCGATCAATGTTTTCTGTTGGCAGCTGCCTAGCTGCAAGTCTTTGGGCAGAGACGAAAACAACAAAAAAAAAGCAGCATCCCAAAAGCACATGTGCAGGCCAGGTTGGGTTTCAAAAGTCAATCTCGAAGAGGCATTCTGCCGTGGTATCTAAGGGTAAACCGACAAATGAGCACAAACAACAACCTAGAGAAAGAGACAAGGTCAAGAGTGGCCACTATCCAATTTGCACAGAAGGTGGTGAATACTGAAACTTACTATTGCAAGATGAGGCATCATGATAGGATACCCCATAGAGAACAACACACTAAGAGCCACACACATTAAGAGCAAAGAGATCCCACGAAGACATGTGACTGGATACGTGATATTGTTTGCTACAATATGTATGCTATTCATACATGTGTATATTCTCGAAAATGAAAAGTCGGTGGAAAATCAAAAGTCGGCCCCAGAACTCAAAAGATAAGGCGCAGATTGCTTTAGAGAAAACTTCATTCCTACAACACCTCCAAACCAACTCAGTACAACCAAGTTCGACTCATTGAGCCTGTTGCATCCTATTGCCACATCACTGAACAACAACATAGACGGCCTACAGTTTTGAAACTGCAGCCTCAATATGGGTTTATCATCAGTAATTATAATTGACTGCGCTTTGGCTCAGGATATCTCTTGATGATTGTCACAAACAACAAGTTTGGAGTCATGTTGGTTTTGTGCGTCCATGGTTTGCAAGTACCAGCAGAATCGTTGTGATATTTGATGTTTACACCACTCAACTTCCGTGCAAAAGAAAAAGGTTGAAAGCTCTGGGCCTCAACATGCCGCTCCACATACACGCATCAAACAGAAACAAAACCATGCTACTAGTATTGCCTGACAAAAAAAATGTTTGGATGATCTTTAGATGTTTCTGACCCTTTTCGTGTTCGTCCTGCTGGGCCCCCATTGGCTTATTTTACAACAAATCCAACCATACTGGCTGTTTGTCGGCAAATTGCCACCAATAGTTTAAGTTTACTTCGGTTTCAAAGTTTAGCTGTTCAAGTTCAAAGTTAAGTTGAAACCATTGCGCGGCAGGCCAAATAGGGCTTTGTCGTCACGAATCTGATTTTTTTTTTTGGCATTATTGGGGCAAAAATTCAACTCTTCAATGAGCTTTTGGAGCTCCATGGAAATCACACGCAAAGCTTCCAAAATGTTCTGTGTGAACATGGCAGTCAGAAAAGATCGACTTATAAAACGCTCCCACTGGAGTCCCCACAAATGGATCAGTACTGCTGCGGTCGACTACATCGTTTTTTTTGCTCCTAGAGGTGTGCGGGTTCTTAAATACTACCAGCGCCAATGAACAAACAATAAAGTGCAAACAAAGGGGGTTCTATAACCACCTTTCTTTCAAAGGTCGTGGACCCCCAGGGTATATATACATATATAATAATCCTGGAGTAGATAGAATCCAGTTTCGTAGGGGGCGTTTTTTTTTTGAAAAAAACCAGGGTTTTTTGACCCAATACTAAACTATATATTCGGACCCCCTAGATAGAATATTCCAAAATCTACTCCAGGATGCTCAAAATGTGTTTTTTTTCCTTTCCTTTTCAAAACCTTCCAATTTATTTTTTTCTTTCAAATTTTCCTTTTCAAACAGCTGCAAAAAATGAACTTTGGATGGTAAGATCGTAGACGTAGATTCCTACGTTTTTCATTTCCTTTTCCTTTCACGGCTTTCTATTCAAAAACCTGCAAGACTGAACTTTGAATGGTAAGATCGTGGATTCCTTCTTTTCTCATCCCATTTTCTTTTTGTTGCTTCTTTTCAAAAACCTGCAATTGCAACTTTGGATGGTAAGATCTCGGATTCCTACTTTTTAGATGCCATTTTCCTTTTAAAGTTTGCTTTCAAACAGCTCCAAGAATGAACTTTGGATGGGTAGATGTGGAGGAATGGGCAGGGAGCACCACAAATACATGCTTAATCCCAAACATCCTTTAAAAATTCAGTCTTTTCATGGTTCTAGAGGATATTCTATCTATAGTTTTGCCCAACTGTCCTAGCACAGTACTAGCACAAATGAACTTTGGATGGTCGATCTTGGATTCCTACTTTTCTGTACTTTTCTCATCTCCTTTTCCTTTCACGGCTTTCTATTCAAAAACCTGCAAGACTGAACTTTGAATGGTAAGATCGTGGATTTCTTCTTTTCTCATCCCATTTTCCTTTTGTTGCTTCTTTTCAAAAACCTGCAATTTCAACTTTGGATGGTAAGATCCTGGATTCCTACTTTTTTAATGCCATTTTCCTTTTAAAGCTTGCTTTCAAACAGCTAATGAACTTTGGATGGGTAGATGTGGAGGAAGGGGCAGGGAACACCACAAATACATGCTCAACTCCAAGCATCCTTTAAAAATTCAGTCTTTTCATGGTTCTAGAGGATATTCTATCTATAGTTTTGCCCAACTGTCCTAGCACAGCACTAGCAAAAATGAACTTTGGATGGTCGATCTTGGATTCCTACGTTCTATACTTTTCTCGTCTCCTTTTCCTTTCACAGCTTTCTATTCAAAAACCTGCAAGACTGAACTTTAAATGGTAAGATCGTGGATTCCTTCTTTTCTCATCCCATTTTCCTTTTGTGGTTTCTTTTCAAAACCTGCAATTTCAACTTTGGATGGTAAGATCTTGGATTCCTATTTTTTTGAATGCCATTTTCCTTTTAAAGCTTGCTTTCAAACAGCTCCAAGAATGAACTTTGGATGGGTAGATGTGGAGGAATGGGCAGGGAGCACCACAAATACATGCTTAATCCCAAACATCCTTAAAAAAAATCAGTCTTTTCATGGTTCTAGAGGATATTCTATCTATAGTTTTGCCCAACTGTCCTAGCACAGCACTAGCACAAAATGAACTTTGGATGGTCGATCTTGGATTCCTACTTTTCTATACTTTTC